AGTCAGAATCACCTCTCTGACCAAGCCTTCACGTTGAAAGTAGCATCTTGGATCGAAAGACTGCGCCCCAAGTACTACTTCTTGTGTAAAAGAGTCGCGGTGCGTCGTAGCCATGGTGAGACAGGTAATATCTGTGTCGGCGTCAACTCCCTTCAACGTAGCTGGTTGAGCAGTTTTCCAGGAGGAGGCATCGTTGTAAACGACGTTAATGTTTGCATCGTTGTCGAGGTAAAGGACGTAAGAGAACACTCTCTGCAGAGTATCTGAACTTCTGGCAACTGAGAATGCAGCCAAGGGTGCGCCTGCTGGCATGTTCGTGACAGCTGGGAAGTCTTTGGTCGATTAGCTTGTGTGGTGAATTTCCGTAATCAACAACATACCTGTAGGCCATGAGTCTGCGTAATCAGTGGCGAGCTCATCGGATCCCAGATCCGGTATCAGCGCCACCAAGGCTCCATTAGCCTGGTAGAAGATCCCATAACCTCCTTGAACCGCAACCTTGCTGAAGTTGGTCGATAGTGGAACCAACGCCAGCCGACTGTCACTATCCGCAGAGATATTGAGTCTCTTCTTGTCCCACTCGGCTGCCGGTGAGAATTCGGTACGAAGGCGATTTCGCACCTCGACGATTCCACCACTGCTTTCCTGATATATGACCCAAGGCCAGTATGCTGCGACGCTACTATTGACACGGGAGTTCAACACCATGTTCTTGATGCTGTCTTCTTCATAGTTCGGGCTCAGAGCATCGTTGATGCTCACTCCGAGAACACGGCCATCATCGTTTGTGTAAAAGACCTCGGTTTGCGGCTTTGGAGACCGGCCTGTTAGCGCTCACTTACATCCGGCGTAGAATAGCGCTTGAAAGTTACCCACCTGGTATGAAGCATCATACTGAATGATAGTCGCCCCTAAGCGAGCACTTGCATCCGCAGAAGAGTTGAACATATCCGGCGTCTGCCATGATGAGTTGCCGCTTGTCTTCGTAGTGTCATATGTCGACCGATGTACTTGATAATCGTCGTCTTGATAAAACAGAAACAGTTCAACTCCCCCAGACTGACTCCATCCGGTGACGGTAAGTGGCGATCCCTGACGTATTGATTGTGATTTTGTTGTCGTGTTGGAGGTATCCGCGGGAGTTGGCGTGCTGGTAGGGCTAGCCACGCTCGTGGGCAACGAATCGTTGACTTGCGATGCTTTCGCCGCTCTGCTTCCCAATATCCCACCGATGACGGCTGCGGCAGCCACAAGAACAAATATGATTCCTCCAATGATGAGCCATAGCCGTTTTCTTTGCTGTGGTTGCTCAGATTCAAGCTCCTCGACTTCGCCTTGCCTCGAAATCACGTGTATTTTGTCGGTATCGTTGTGATCAGAAACTGCTTCCTTGCCGCTTTCGTAGCAAGAATGGTTGGAGACTTGGAGTCCGGACCATGTGGGGTCTTCTGTGCGTGCGAAGTTCTCTTGTTCGTGTGATACAACTTCTAGGCCTGGTTGCTCCGTGGCGTGGGGATGCGGTTGGTTCCCATGGTCCTGGGTTATCAAACCAGGTTAGTTGACCATCTAGATGGTTTGTGTAACCCCAGGACTGAATCATTGTTCCACGGCCTTTGCTGAAGACTTACATGAGCTGCAGACATCGCGAGACACTTCGGAATTGATTTGGCTCAGCCTTGACATTTGGGAATCAACAAAGTGCAACAAAGAGAGAAAAGAAACGGTGAATTACAATGGCGCAGCGGACTAGTGAGACGAACTCTTTAACAAACACTAACAAAGATCGTCAGAACCACCGGGGTTTGACGGAAACGTCTCAAAATCATGGCACAGCAACTCCAACTCGCACCAACACCGAGATGTTACCCTGCGTGATTCGTTCGCCTGCAGGCTAGAATATCAGGCTGAGCCAGACATGCGCAGTGACCCCCACATATCTGCCAGATTTGGTGCCTCTGTCCAGGGGTCCTATGCAGTTGAGGATGCGAGGCGCCAACGGCCAAGCCAAATTTGCAGACTGAACCAACGCAAGCGCCCTGAAATCTGACTTGCTGCCTGGAAGAACACCTGATGAGTCCATGGGTGTGAAACAGGGTGCGTGAAATTTGGATTAATTTCCCAGCCTGACTGTTGCGGTATCTTCGAAAAAGTCGCGATAATGGCATCATCAACAACATCATGGTGTTGACTTCAACTTACGTACGTCAATATGTGGAATAGTTTAGATCTAGGAACTCGTTTCATACAAGATCTCAGTCTCGGCTGATGGCAACAAAATCTCCTTAGCTCGTCAGCATCTGTGAGCGCTTGCGCCGACCGCTCCCACACTCCGTTCGCTCCGCATCAGGGGCAAGGGTCCTATAATTGGTGATATCCACACATGGCAGGGATTCTCCGACCACTCAGGCTCTCAACTCGCAATCATGTCATCCACTTCCACGTCAGTCCGGATTTCCCTGCCGCGGCGCTCCAACGTTATCTTGAGCCCAAATCTCCATAGAGCCGGCCAAGCGTCTCCTTCTTCCTCTTTAGACGACATACACCCGAAACCTTCTCTTCACGACGACGAAGCGCTTCCGAAAATGCCGTCTCTCGGGGTGCACTGGACACCTCTAAAGATTGGCCTTCTCACGGCCGTCTTCCTGATATCGGCCTGGTGGATACTGCCGTTCCAACTGGTGTGTTTTAACCCCGTAACCCCTCGCGAGCGGTTTCGGTGCTCTGTGCCGTATCAGTCGAAGTTTGTTGGGTTTGGCAGCTAACCAGGGGTCGCCCCCCCTCAAAAAGCCCGCGATCCCTGAATCCATCGCGCATGGCTCTTCGCCTAAGCCCGCAACTCCAGACCAACAGAGCGCGTCTTCAAAAGACCGACCGCTCATCGTGTATGCGTATCATGACTCCGAGAGCGCGCGAGCAAATCTGGATTACTTTGTCAACAAGGGTATCCACAATGGTGCAGACTTTGTCTTCATCTTCAATGGAGATGCAAACGCGTCGAGCACCATTCCTGACCTACCAAACATCAGCATCGTCAAGCGGGATAACACCTGCTTCGACATGGGTGCTATTGGCGAAGTCTTGAGGAAGGATGACCTGTGGAAGAAGTATAAGCGGTTCATCACGATGAACGCTAGCATTCGAGGGCCGTTCTTACCGGCGTGGAGCTCGTCTTGCTGGTCGGACTTATACCTGAGCAAGGTGACGGAGACAACCAAGGTAAGTCTTCACAGATTTTCGATATTGACATGGCGTGAACTCTAAGACAATTTATTTCAAACAGCTCGTCGGAATGACACTCAACTGCATCCCTAGACTGCATGTTCAGTCCATGATCTTTGCTACTGATGATGTCGGCATGGGCATCCTCTTGGACCCCACAGTCGCAACAAGCGCGTCGGAAGACGACCGCTTCGGAAGCAAAGACGCTCCCGTTGGTCTCAGCGGGTGCTACGCGGACTGGAACGCCGCAGTCCATGCCGAGGTCGGAACGACGGGCCTGATCATGAACGCTGGTTACAAAGTCGACGCCATGATGACCGCTCTGCATTCCGAAGAAGGAGTAGAAGAGTACTGCAAGGCTCACCCGGAATCCGGTGACTTGTTATGGGACAAGAAGTATTTCGGGAGCAACATTCACCCGTACGAGACTGTCTTCATCAAGGCGAATAGGAATGTTGATCCGTCTCTGATGTCGTCGATGACGGATTGGCATATGCGGATGAAGTCTAACAGCTTCGATGTGTGTGGCTCCTGATTGGCGTATGAGAGTAAGACTCTGTATGATATCCCATAGACTGTAGACAACCTAGATAGAGTGTAAATGTTCGGTGTATCTAAGCGATTTCAACAATACAGAAGGCTTCGAAGCCAACAATGCCAATGATATTCAAAGGTAGTGTTGTTGGAAGCTGAGCTTGTTGCGTGACTAGGATCATTTCCGTATTTGGGACGGCGTTTTTGAGGCCTCAGAATCGCTATCTAACTTAATTATGTGGCTTGAGTCTCGCCTAATTTGATCGTTGACATGGCATCTTGTTGTATCTCGTGTAATTACTCGCTAACCAATGAAAACACAGAATTCATGTCGAACAAGGTTTTCTTAGAATATGGAAACAGCAGATAATGGAGGTAGGGCAACATTGAAGACTAGAATCGCAGTCTATTAGTTAAAAAAAAATCCCCCCAGAGTTGTGGATGCTCTAAGCAACGATCCCAAACATCATCTAGGTGATGCCTTGGAGTGGATTCACGTGAGTTATCTTTGGACTGATACAACGCATCTAAGAGCTCTGTATTGAGAGAACTGACTGCATGATAGGTATAATTGTAAGACCGCACGTGATGAAAATTATTCAACTACTGTTTCGATCCTTACTTCTTATCATACAGTATTGTACTATTTCTTCTTAGAGATAACGAATAGCAACGGATGGCAAGAAAGACGATATACGGTTCAGCCACAATGTGGCGCTGACTGTGGCTCATTCTCCATTACATAACTTTACATCTTCCCAAAGTCTCAAAGTCCGGGTTTGAAAACTTCGCAACCTGCGCATTTCCCCTCCCTCCTTTAACCCCTCCACCCCTCAGGCCTCAGGTCCAGAAAACACATCACCAACGAACATTTCAGCACGTTCGAGCAACAGCACAGCACAGCAGCAGCAGCAGCTCCCGATTCCACACACCCCGCCAAGGTCAGGCATTCGTGCATGCTAGCAGCTGTGGTGTCATCGCAAAAGCTGAAACGGCAAGGCGGTTCATTACCTTATCCGATCGTACCCAGAGTGCAGCGCAAAAGCCACCAGTGCATCCGTACCACCACGCACGCCGTCTTTTCGTTTTGCTTGACTGCATTTTTGCGCCGAATCGGCAGCTTGGCCGAGGGGGTGTCTTGCTTTTCTTACTCTGACTCAATTTTGGGGGAAGTCAGTCAGCATTGAGCAGAGTCAGATCAGATTTTCGGTAGGCTTACTTGCAGCCTTTCCTTACAAATTCGACCTGCATTTTTCTCTTGTTCCAAATCCCCCCTCTATTAGCTCCGTCTTAGTTATCGGATATCATGAAGGGAGGGGACGGAAGGGGGAGTTTGCTTATGCAGTTTAAGGCATGATTGTGGGATATGCGCGTATTTTCTTATTAACCGCTGCTTTCCCTATTGCTATACACGTGTGAAATGTTAACTAACTCTTGACTTTTTTTGGTATCATAAAAGTCTGTACCGGGAAATCCAGTCCGTCGCAAACGGCCAACAGACGCTGCCCACTACAGACTACGGAGTACCTATCTCTCTACGAGGAGCTTTGTACTGGAAGAAGGGCCCCTGCGGTGCCGATCCGCCCCCGCCGAGTCAGTAAACTACCCCGAAAATGCCGGCCATGCTAGATGATCCGGCGAGCCCCACCATCTACCGGGTGTCCGGGGTGACGCCGTACCCGGACCCGATGAACCCCTCCCTGCCGGCCGACATCACCCCACGTCAAGTGACGCTTCGCGACCGCCAGACCGTCGCCACCATCATCCCCTTCGCCTCTCGGCACGAGGTGCCCCCGTCCCTGGTGCGCTACCTTAGTGACCAGCTCAACAAGGAAATCGAGGGCGGCGACACCTACCCGATGATGGAGACCATGACGGCCGAACAATTCGGCGCCTACTGGTTCCAGAATTTCGGCGCCGTCATGATGCTGGGCAACATCGAGCAGCCGCACGCTGATCTCAACGACGACATGGACTGGTCCCGCGAGTGCCTCGGCAGCTTCTACATCAAGCCAAACTACCCGGGCCGCAGCAGCCACGTGTGCAACGCGGGCTTCCTCGTCACCGACGCCTCGCGCAACCGCGGCGTGGGCCGCCTCATGGGCGAGTGCTACATCGACTGGGCGCCCAAGCTGGGCTACACCTACTCCGTCTTCAACCTCGTCTACGAGACCAACGTGGCCTCGTGCAAGATCTGGGACGCCCTCGGCTTCAAGCGCATCGGCCGCGTAAAGGGGTGCGGCAACCTCGCCTCGTACCCGGGCACCCTCATCGACGCCATCATCTACGGGCGGGACCTGCCCGTCCCCGGCAGCAACGGCGCAGAGTCGGAGGACCTCGTGAGTGAAGAGCGTTTCGACAAGATCAAGTTTTATTTGAAATATGGACGGTATCCGGCGGGTGCTGACCGCGCCGAGAAAAGCAGGCTCCGGAGCGCGGCGACGCACTATAAGCTGGTGGGGGAGGGGGAGGCCGGCGGCGGAGGCGAACGGCTGATGCTCAAGGATAAAGAGGTCGTGCCGGATCCGAGGAGGCAGTACGAGATTGCGCGCGAGGTGCATGCCGCCGGCCACGGCGGGATCAACAAGACGACGGCGACGATTGCGGAGAAGTATCACTGGAGCCGCATCAAGGAGACGGCAAGCGACGTGATTCGGAACTGTACGGAGTGTAAGGAGCTCGGCAAGACACCTGCGCCGGGGGGTGGGAACGGGGGTGGTGCCAAGGGGAGGTCAGCGGCGGCATTGGCAGCTGCTGCTACTGCTGCTTCTACTACTTCTTCTGCTCCGCCTGTATCGGTTGTGAATCCCCTCACAAATACTTCATTTCATCACACTCATTCAACATCACCGCCACAGCAACCGCTATCACCAGGGCCTACCTCAACAGTTCTCAGCACCGCAGATCATGTCCTTTCACTTCAACACCAACATCCACATCATCACCATCACCTTCCGCCCCTCTCACCACCAAGGTCATCACCCTACGCAGAAGTCACCTCCTTACCGCCCTCCCACACCCTCCGTGACCCCTCAGCTTCGCCCTTACCGCGCCACCCTCACCACAACCCCATGCTACAAGACGAGTCCTTCCAGCCCATTGATCCGCAAATCATTGGCGGCCTGCAGCCGCCGGGTCCGACGTCGCACCACGATCTCCATCATCACCACCATCACGAGAACCCGTATAACCCGTACCACCCTCACCACACCGACTTCCAGGCGTTATTGAACGCGACGGAGGCTGAGGAAGGGGTAGAAGGGTTGGGTGAGATGGGGGTGTCGGCGGAGGAGGCGGCTGCTGTGGATCGGGATCTGGATATGTTGATTGAGCAGGGGGATGATGATGATGTTGGTGTTGGGGTGGGCGTGGATGGAGATGCGGATGCGGTTATGGGAGAGAAGGATGGGAGGGAGAAAGATGTTTATTCTATAGAGTTTATAAACGGATGATGCCAATAGGTGATAGGAAAGTGGTTTGGCGGTGGCGTTGTGTCTATTTGGCGTCTTGAATACCATGGATGAGGGCGGCGGCGGTCCTGTTCTTTTTTTCTCTCTCTTTCACTTCATATACTTGATAGACTTGCACAACTTACTTACATGGCAAGCGGACATGTCAGCAATTCAGACTTTACTCATATAAATGATTTCATGGGCAGCATAACCTGGCTTAGTACCTTGTCACTGGGATACGCTTATATCGTATTGTTTGATACTCTCTCGAAAGCTGGATCTCCTTGCAGCGGGTCACCGAAGCCGATAGAGCCGGGATAGAAGACATTGGTCTCATAAATGAGCTCTCAATCAATCGCCCGCCTTAGTCGTGTCGTCTTTTCCGATCTCATTCATGCCATCTCACATGGGGGGCACGGAGCCGAGCGCCGGGGCGGATGGCAGATAGTATGGGACACGACCGGGACCCGCCATTCGGGGCGTCGCTTCCGTCCGGGACGGGCGGGGCGCACTAATGCCGTGCCTAATCTCAAAAACTCTTTTCTCGGCCAAATCTAAGAGATACCTTAGCTTGAACTAAAGCGGTTAAAATGACGCGGCCATTAATCGTGACCAAGGGCAGAGAGTTTTTGCAAATTTATTCTTTTTCTTGAAAACTTGAGTATCGTTGGTTCCGCTAGTATCCGTGAGTACATACTCTGAAGTGTACACCTCCGTGCTCTGCAAACATGGCGCCTTAAGCTTTGCTTCTCCTCGAGTCAAGCTCTCGCTCAGGCACGAGGCTTCCACGATTCGTGGGGGCGTGTCGTGCAACTGGAGAACTGAACCAGCCGGCGACAACGGCCGGGCGAACATGCTTCCGTCTCATCTTTCTAGCGGGATCCTGGAAACGCGAGAAGACAGGGGGTTGCCAAGACCTAATTTTCGGATTTCTCTGGTATACGTAAGGATCCAAACTCTAAAAAGGCCGCTCGAGAGTTGAAACCTGTTCGGATTGCCCTTTTGCTTGGACTCCGTTTCTACCTCTTCTTGTGTGCTACCCAAGGTCTTGGGGGTGTTTGGATTGTTGATGTTGGGTTGACAGAAAAGGCAACGAGTAAGAAGAGGGTGTTGAGGTCAATGGTGTTTGGATCCCTCACCCAAAGTCAACGGATCTGCGGACACCATAGAAGAAGAATGGGGTTGAGATGCGACTGACGATACGATTACAGCCTCCCTCAGCGGGCGGCGGGTTGTGTGTCCTCCGGTATCTGGTCGGCAGGACCGATAATGCTCACGATTTTATGGACCATCCCGCCGTGGTTCGTGCTTCTCTCTCATGCCGCCACGCCATGTCCATCATCCATCAATCTGGCCTCGTGGGCGCGGAGATCAAAGTGGGACCTCTCTCAATCACAATTCACAGACTCAATCTGTTCAAAAAGCAAAGACGTATTGCACACGACGTGATTGGGTGTACGGAGTACAGTATCCCCGCGAGATAGTATGCCGGCCTGTTCGGCAGGGCTGGCGAGCATAATCCCCGTTAAGCACGTCTTTGCAATGCTCAACAGCCTTGCCGTTGTGCTTGCAGAAACCGTCTTTCGAGTTGCCCTTCTTACTACCGCTACCGCATAACTTCGGTGTGCGGATGTCAGTCTTGCCAGGGAAGAGGCCACCTCATCATCCCAACTTCACCAACTCCAGACGGCACCCAGATTTCATATATATTTAGAAACCTTCTTTTCTCTCGAAAAAAGCAGAACCCCGCGGCCACCCGATTGGCCCGCCCACGAACATCGCACTCAGTTCTGAAACTGCGCATGCTCCTGTCCCGTAAACCTGTCCCTTCTCAAGATTCCCCTCGCATGCTTACAGCCCGGGGTTGCCTTGAACTCTGTTCTGTCCCCAGCGGCACCTTTTTTCTTTTCTCGGTGACTGGCGTTCCTTTTTTCCCTGGTGAGCCCAAGGCGAAGGTACCGGCACACCGGCGTACCTTGTAGACGGTCGCCCCCTCCAAAACTCCGCGCCCGCGTGGTGAAGTAAGGAGTGAGGAAGAAGGGGGATACACCTCCCACTACACTGGCACACATATTGCGACGAACTCGGGAACCGGACCGTGAGACGGGCGTAACCCTGTGACTTTCCTCCTGCCGAAACTTGCGACGCCGTGCCAAACGGCAGCGTACGCGTACGTCTGGTCGTCTGGTCACCACGCTTGGCTCATCTGACGGACACTCACACACGGTAGACCACAGAAGCCCAGGCCGCCCAGAGATCTGAAGGGTCGAACTTCCGTCAAGATTGGGGGTGCGTAGGATTGATGCAGATTGGCGGGACCGCCTACACAGCCTCGATCGGTCGAGGCCAGCACTTGTTTCCCGATTGCGACTTTATTCTTTTCGAGTCAAGGGAGGGTGTTGGCCCGGAGCCCGGCAGGTAGGGGGAGGGTGTGGTAGTTGATAATTTGATGGGGTGGTAATCAATCAAAGAAGGTTGGACTAAGGTTATATAGCGCTATTAACCTCCACGAAATTTCCCATGGCGTCTCCTATTCTTTCGATAGTGTCATTAAACTTATCAGCTTGGTCTCTCCATCCATCTCTGTGACAGCACACAGCTAGCCTCTCTTTTATCGACAACATTCGCTCTCACACAAAGCTCTTTCAAAATTCGACACGTCGCATATACACAAAAGTGCTCATATACATACAAACACGCTCTCTACATACATCCAACACAACCAATACAGCACAACACTCAACCGATATCATCTTACACAACCGATACACCTACAACACACGCAATCAAACACACAACTCACAAAACTCCAAACACCACATACACAACACACAAACCAGTCAACATGAAGTTCTCACTCCTCACCCTCATCACTCTCGTCAGCGCCGCGTCCGCAATCAGCGTCGACGCCGGCCTCATCAAGAGGCAATGCATCGCAGAAGGAGGTTAGCTCTTCTCTCTCTTCACTCCACACATTCACCAACGAACCCTATGCTAACGAATATTCTTTCAGGTCTCTGCTTCACAAGCACCACAGAAGTAGACAAGCCCTGCTGCGGCGGCCTCATCTGCAACACCGACCCCGCGCGCAATAATGCCAACGTGTGCGGCAAGAAGCCCGCCGAGAAGAGGGACGTCCCGGAGCCTCTGCCTGTACCGCGGGCAATGCCTGAGATTCCTCGCGATGAGCCCATCTGGGGATAAGTGGGAAACGACAAGACGATCAGGAGGGAAACAGTATGGCAGGAGAGGGACTTCTACCTAGGCCGTTGTTCTGGCCAACAAGCGTACGATTATGACTTTTATATTCTTTCTACTTTCAATCTTCTTCGATGACTCAACCATCACAACGGCTTGGTTGCTAGGGACGGGGACAACTTTAGACTTGATACCACATTTCTTAGCGTTTTTTTGAGATACCAACTTTTCGATATCATTCAAAGAATCTATTTACTTTGTACTTGCTCCTGGGGTACTTCTTGATGAGTCTTGTGGTCTGAATCGTGGACATGCCCCAAAAGCTAGATGACGAGATCGCTCTTATGCCTGCCATCTTGGAACACTACATGTGTTGAAGAAAATCATCTCACTTTGTCTTGGTACTTTCACTCCAGTAAACCTTTCCATTTGGCAAATATGACCTGCACACCGAAGATCCCCTCACCGCGTAGACGATAGTATTCATGTTGGATATAGGCCACATTTTGACACGACAGCTTTGCGTACGAATAAAGATAAAACTTAAACGTCGCTGTCAAGAGCAAAAAGAACAAAAGGGGGATGATCAAGTCACCACACATCCGTGTCCCAAGCAACAGATATAAACCACTCAGCCCCGTCTACCCACTCCCATCACACAAGCCAAGCCAAACTCAAGAACAAACATATAATTAAGCTAGTTTCATTTTTTCGTTGACACGTATAGAGTAGAGATGATATACTGTTCGTCTCATATGAAGGTATTCACCGAGGTACCTACTCATCTACATGTAACACGTAGGGTCAATGCCCACAACTGAGAGACGGCCCAGGCTCGGTCCAGGGACCATGCTCGCTAGATATGAACGATCCAGCGAATATCCAGTAGAGTCCAGTCGACGCTGATAGCCTTGCGTAAACGTATAGCTCTGAGAATCAATCGACATAAAGTCGAGGTCAAGCATCGGCGGCGATATCACAAACTGTGTTATAGGATTGACTGGTAGATAGTCTCACAGAGGCATGAGATGGGTGGGAATCGTATGCCTGCATCCAAGAACTCATCACTCCCAATCTCACACACATACAAGAGAAAATAGTGACATACGCCCGTCGACAGCAGCAGAGGGCGAATTTCTATAGAAATACTGGTACATGTTCATACATTGGTAGGTAGTCTAGTACAAAGTCCCAGGACAGGACGATTCTTCTCCCTCATCTTTTCTCTCTTTTCCCATCTCCATCTCCTCAATCCTCAACACTCACTTCAACCTAATTGCCCATCGGAGAACTTCAAAGCTCACCATCAACAGCCTTGCTCCGATCAACCTGCAACATCTCAAGCAACCTCGCCTCCTCGCCCTCCTCCGCATTGTGCGCCGCGTGCGAGGCCGTCGACTGCCACTTCTTTATTTCCCTCTCCCACGCGTTCCCCTGGGCCTTCATGAATCGTTGCGTCTCCAGCGGGGTGGTCCACTCCGACTCGCCATTCTCCGCGGCCGCGAGACGGCGCTTCTGGCCCGCCTCGCCCGCACGTCCGAGGACGCCCGCGATGACGGCGACGGATCGGTAGCTGTTTGGCGGACATTTTGTTAGTCAACGTTGAAAAGGAATGAGGTGGTTTGTGATTTTGAATGGGAAGTTTGACGTGAGAGAAAGGAGGAAGAGGAGAAAGAATACTAACCTGTCATCGTTGGCAGGAATGGCATACGTGACCCAATCCGGGTTCGCATCCGTATCAATAATCCCAATCGTCGGCACGTTCGCCAACCCACACTCGTACAGCATGGTATAGTTCTCCCTCGGGTTCAAACACACAATCAGATCCGGAACCAGCGGCCGCCCCGTCCTCTGCAACCTCTCAAACCCCTGCAGCGTGATATCCTTCTCGTCCACGATCCGCACCTCCTTCCCCTGGTTAATCACGTCGCGGTTCGTAATGTTGCCCGGCGTCCACTTGGTAAACAAGTGACACCCGCCCGCGAGCTTCGCCGCTCCCGTCACGATGTCCATCTGTCCCTTGCGCGTGCCCGCAAACAAGATCAACCCGCCGCGGTACGCCACCTCTTCAACCACACGCGCCGCACGACGGAGGTACGCAGCCGTAGTCTCGAGGGAAATAATGTGAATCCCCTGCCTCACACCGTAGATGTACTTTGCGTTGGCCGGGTTCCAGCGGGACGTATGATGTCCCATGTGCGTCTGACTCGCCATCAGCAGCTCCAGGCTAATGTCCTTCGGGTGAGGCGGGTTCTCGATGAGCTGCGAGGGCACGTACGGCCGTCCGACGGCGGCGCCGACGCGGGCGTTGAGGTTCTGCTGCCGGCGGAAGCGGTTATAGGCGTTGGGCACCGTCTTGGAGCGGGCCTCAATCGCCTCGGCGCGCTTGGCTGCCGCATCCGGGTCGTTCTGCAGTGAGGCAGCGGCAGCGTGGGGAATCTGGCCGAGGGCCGCGGAGGTGGTCAGATCTGCAAACGTCTCGGGCGTCATGGCGCCAACGAGGGCGTCGGTCGTGATGCCGGCGCGGTGGCATGATCGGGCAACTGCTGGCGCCAGCAGGGCTCTGCTGCCTGTACGGGAAAGATGATGTCAGCTACAATTCAATTGAAGACTTTCAGAGGCTTCACGTACCATGCCGGCTGACTATGCTTCTGACAATCATGGCGTTTTGGCGGGCGGCGTTGGTTGCTCAGGAGTCGTTACGCTGCTGCAGTTTCCCAGGAACAATTTTTGGAGCTCTCAGGGAAGCTGGACGGAAGTCTCCGCAACGCCCCTGCCGATGCGCCCCACATGTCATGTTAGGTAAGCACTCAATTGACAGCAAGAGGATCAAGACAATTCCAAGGCACGTTTCAAGACTAAGATTCATAGGTAGTCCAAAGGTTTAGATTTTCAGTAAATTGATAAAACGGATGTGCGGTGTATTAGTTTAACGTCGGGGTACTCAAGTCTAGTAAAGACAACAATACTCGATACATATTTACAATGCTTCGCCAAGGACTCTCGTAAAGTCGTGATTGAGATCCTCCTCTTTCCTGTCTCTAGCTTTCTCTCTCTGTAGCGCATCCCTTACCTACTACTGGTCAGGCGAGAGATCGTGAAAACACCGACAATGACAACCGCCAACGTCACAATGGCACCGGGGAGGAGCAGCTCGTTGGGAACACCGGCAATAACCTCCTTCTCCGCGGGTGCGTGGTGTTTCGCGCGACGCGACCTCCGGATCGTAGACTCATCCTCATCCTCATCCTCTGCCTCGTCGTCCTCGTCATCATAGGCTCTTCTCCTGCGCAGGTCGGGCGTGGCGGAGATGGGAGGGGTGGGGAGCGCAATAGTCTCGATGGTCGGGGGTGCGGCGGAAACGGGGGGCTTCTCGGGGTCGTGGACGAACAGGTCGACCTTCTCATGGCGGCTCTGGCGGGCAAGAAGAATGGATTCGAGCAGATCGTTGTCCGTCGTGATGGAGACAGAATCACCCTCATCGTCGAGGTAGCTGAGCGCAAAACCACCCGAGATCTTGCCTTCGTCGGCTACGGGAGCACCGCCAATGGCATCGACTTCGCTTCCCAGTTTGGCAACAACATTGGCAACCATCGCTGAGATTCCCTGGGATGCAATGACCTGCAGGCGGTGAACACGGCCGGACGGTGCCTTGAACTTGAAGGGGAAGGGCAACTCGGCAGGTGACTGCTGAGCTGGGCTATTGCCAGTGACGGCGGAGCGAGGCGGTGACTCCAAGCCAACGTGGGAGGCAGAGTCGCCGGGAGCCACGCTGTCGCCGATGCGCTCCCGGGTGATATCGGGAGACATGATGCGTGAGCCCAGATTTGTGTGGTGGGTGTGGCTTCCCTCGCCGGACATCATGGACTCGGTGCCGTCGTCGAGCGAGAGCCAGAACTTGTTCCACGCGGGTCCTTCGCTGTCTGAGGTAGACATGGTGTTGATCTGCTCGAGGGTGGCGTAAGTGAGCTTGAGAACGTCGACCATGCCGACGATTTCGCCGCCTTCGTTCATGACGGGGAGGTTGAGGTAGTGGCCGTCTACATGGAACGTTAGTTGCTGTTGCTTTCACTGTATCAACACGGGTAGCTTACCATGCATCTTGCGGAGAGCAGCCTGGATGCTCATCTCCATGGGAGCAAAGTCCGGGTGAGGCGTCATCACGCGGACAACGCTGCAGGTCGCGGGGTCGAGACCCGGGGCAATGACACGGAGGACGACGTCCTTGCTGGTAAAGATACCAGTAATGGCACCCTGATCTTGCACCAGGACGGCCGTGGTTCGGTTCTCCTTCATCATCTGTGCGGCCTCCTTGACCGAGGTTCTCACGCTGACCGTCGTCGGGGGGCGTCCGTCAAGGACCGACTCGAGAGTCGGGCCCGACATCTTGGAACGCAGAGCCTCGACGTACTGGATAATCTGTTGCGGCTGGCTCGTGCCGAGCTCGGACTGTACACCCTCGAGGGCATCGTACAGGCGTCTCGACGACGAGTAGGCACGCTCCAGCTTCTCCATGGCATCGTAGAAACACTTTGTAATATCGAGAATACCGGAAATATCTTGGTTCTCGTCCATGACGGGCAAGTGACGGAAACCCTTGCGGACCATGAGATCGAGGGCGTCGGTGGCGCTGGTATCGGTGCGGGCGCAGAGGGGGTTCTTGGTCATGATCTCGGCAATGGTGATGTGATTGGGCTTCTGGCCGGCGCCGACAACGCGGAAGGCGAGATCCTTTGCGGTGAAGATACCGGCGATGCGGTCGTCGTCGTCGGTGACGAGGACGCAGTCCTCACGCTTGGCGGCCATGAGCTGGGCGGCCTCGGCGACGGTGGTGGCGGGCTTGATCTGCAGGGCTTGACTGGGCTTCAGGGCGAGGACGGTGCCCGGCGGGGCCTTGCGGGAGTGACGGGCTCGGCTCGTGAGGTGCTTCTTCTTGGAGAGGTCGCTCTCCATCTTCTTGCGAATTGCCTTGACGTAGTAGTCAGTATCCATTGTGTCGAGCAGTCTGGCCCTTTCGAGCTCGCCGTAGGTAAGTCTGGCCATTTGGAGGTAGCGGGAGCTTCTGGAGGTTCGACTGTGGTAGACGCGATCGGATTGCCAGGAAGATTGGAGACGCGACGATGACGACAACAGAAGATGGACAAGCGGCGGTCTGCGTATCTTTCCTCCAAAGGCAAAGGAGCAGATAGAGGCAAAAGGTCGTGATCGTGGGGTACTATCAGAAGGAATGAAATAAAAAGGGCATCATACCTCATCTCTCTTGGTCTGCTTCTGACGACTGGCACTGACTCCTGATCCACCACCGCCGCCGCCGCCAACTTCGCTCTGGGTGGCCTGGGTTTCTAGGACAGGGCGCGGAATACCAGAGGATACGGCGGCGGGAGGTGCAGAGCCTGTGACAGAGGGGCTCTGGGTGAAGGGGATGCCTCCACGGGCCTGGCCGCGATTGGGCGTGCCTCTAAGGGTGTTGCCTGACATTGCATGAACTTGTCAGATTGCGATTAATGGGAGGTGTTGATGCGTGGTGTGGCTATTTTTTTCTCCTTCGTCTGCGCTTTTTGGCTTTTGGGGGGCGGAGAGCTGCTGGGGTGGGTGCCGAGGACGACGCGTGCGAGCGTGCGAGCCGGCGGTCGGGGGTCAATAACGGGGCGCAAGGTAAATTGTCGTAGCTCCGAAGTTCTGCAGGAAGAGACGAGACGAGACGTGGGATGAAAACAGGTTTCCGAGACAGGGTGAAGTGAGATGGATGAAGAGAGTGAGAGAGAGGGACAAAGGGAGGGCCGACAAAGAGGGACCAGATGACAGCAGATGGGTATCCAATGTAGCCTGGTGTCTACTGGTCTGGCGTCTGTCTATTCGTGTCTTGCAGCCTTGCAACCTGGGTGAGGGATAATTATCCGTGGATAGACGATAAGATGATAATATCAACCGTTGGAGAAAGCTGGAATTGGTTCCTTTCAGAAGCTTAAGCCAAAGATATTATTGATGGGAGATGGGAGGAAACCGGCTGGGGTCGGGGCCGGGTTAGTTATTTCCAGGTCCCAAGATCCACGTTCACTGGTCCAGCAGCTGTCTTGGTCCAGTCATTTACAGCAATCGTCAACCTAAATGGAGCAGGTATGATGTGGTCATGGGGCCTCACAATTCTCCCCTTTCCTTTCTACCTCGTACCTTTATCGGCCCCGATACTTTGGTTCCATCTTCTGCTGCATCTGCTGCTACTGCGCGCTGCAAATTGTCTCCAGCCAATGTCACCGCTGTGAGCTGTGAAGAATGGACGGCAAGAAACATTGCATCGACTGGACAGCAAAAGACACAAAAAAAAAAAAAAAAAAAGACCCTGGTTGTCGCGGTGACAGGGGAGCACGATGCACGGGCCAGAACCGGCACCCGCGACGTCGCTGACCGTCGCCTTCAAATCTCGTAAGCTCCAGTTCACATCGCTTCTCTCCAATCACGTATCGTATCCGATCTAAGTGGATCCCTAAAGCCCACTTGGTCGGTCCCTGAAGCTCCCGAGGCCGTCCAGAACTCCTCGGTGACCTCACTCCGCCATTTCATCTGACAGCTGTAGCTTTATACCATGAGTGATTTCTATCATCAAGTACACGTGTTTGATTGAGAGATGAAATACAAACTCTTATTTTACTTACCTACGAAAGCTCATCCGATGCTGCCAGCTCATAGAAACTCAATCATCATCAAAGCCTGCAGAAAGATTCGGTGGAAACGTCCCGACTCTGGCCCTTGCATGAACCTACCGGGCGGCGGTGAATAGCAGTCTCGATTAAGACAGCTGAACCCTGTCGAGTCCAAAGGTGCATGTCATCTGATCTCTGCAGCGCTGTTTTCTCCAACCTGTGCCTACCTTACCTGTTGCCTTTTCTTCACATAAGACCACAAGCACCCAGTGGTGGTAGCTGGATTACACAGCTCGAGTTTAAACAACCACATCATTATCGACCGATTCTTACACCACTCACTCCCCGTCCTTCCGGATTTCTCCTCGAAACCAACAATGTTCCCCAGCTTCTCCAACATTGTGCAACGATGCCTGAGCATGCTGCGCACATGGACCTGACCCAAGATGGCGGGTCTTACCGTGCGGTGCCCCCTTTTTTAGCCTCACCTGAGAGTCAAATATCGCCTGACCTTCGCTAATTCACCAGTGCCACCTCCTATCAGGGCAGTGAGGCACTGATGAGATTGGATCCGAAATTCCGCTGGCCTGGTCCCGAGGCTTTCTTTAGAAGTGCTGCACTTGTGCTGTGTAAAGCTGTTTAAACCTTTACTGTGTGCTATCGTGCTATGTAGGTGGTCAGGCCTTATTCGGCCCCGGACTTCCCTCGGCTCCGATCATGAGCTTGCGACGTGAACTGCATCCCTGATTTTTCATGATTGCCAGGCTGAGTTTACATCATGTGATCACACGCAGATGGCCTTGGGACTATGAGACAATTCGCTCTGCATATAATAGGTAGTGCTTCACGACGATCCTGAAGTAGCTCCAACATGACCTCATGCCTTTGCTTTGTGACGGAATGTAGGGCTTCAGAATCCCTGACAACCCCTCAATGAGCCCGCACAAGTCCAGTTGCATATGTATATCATCCTATGATACCGCCGGCATTTACTATACACCTTAACAGATCTCCGTCTATGCGTGTCAACTTTAGAATCTTTACAATGTATTAATACTGCACAAAGAAGAGTGTTCTACTGAATCCCTTCTGAAAGGTTCCGAAGCAACAGTCTTACGACTTGAATGAGTGCTCAAAAGAGCAATCTCTCACTCGAATGTATTCCCGGTGCGTCGGCTATGAACAGGACTGCAGAAACCTTCAAGATACATTCTTGACAAGGCTGAAAACGGTAGGAGGTGCTGGATGCAGGATACCTAGGTCAGACAAGAAGATTGTGAGTCTAGAAGTAAGTGGGTCAGCGAGTGCCACGGCTTGTCCATGATTCCAGGAGAGTAGTTCACAGGTATGCTCCAGGTATATTTACTTGTAGGGCTCCGTTCGTGGCACAGAAGCCAATTACATAGCTCTTATATGAGCTGCTTTTGACTTTCCTAGAGACACCATCACTCGATCACCCATTATGCGACCTCATTGTCAATGCAGCAAAGGTTCTTAAACCGCCCATATGATTTTTTACAATTGTTGAATCCCAGGAGTAGGAGGAACGATGACATGCGAGGCAGTCTCAACCCAGTTTACTCCTGATCGGCTACGAGAGGTAGAATCAGTCAACAGTCACTTGGTGGTCTCGCACAAGCTCACTTACAATCGTTCACCTTGTGAACTCACAGCATCATCCGATGAACCTTTGAACCACGAAATAGCTGATGGAAATGTGATGGCTAGATAATGAGTATTAGTACTTGAAGCCGACACCTGGTATCATCCAGTCTGGATCCTAGAGCTTCTAAGGCCAGGTACGCGTCTCAAAAGAGATATAAAAGCAGTGCTATTTCCAATGCCTCGCTATTTCGAATAGTTGCGGAGATCGCCATAAGGTTCGCGCGGAATGCGGCGTGCTAGAAGAAGTTATCAGAGATAGATCTCAGATGTTGGTCGAAAGTCTCGTAGGCAGCACATTGAATGCTGGTAGCTGGGCCTGGCTTCTACCAAGTCCTTGGCCGCTCGCTGATAACACCGGCCTCTGCATTCAATTGTCCGCAACGCTAGATCTCACTACCTCTCTCGCAAGACTGCTGTATCCAAATGCCAATGGCCCGGAACCTTATCTTGCGCGTATATAAGAGGCCGTCAAGATTCTCAAAAGCGGCCGATTCGTGATGCTTCGTGGTTGCTTCGCTATAAAGGGCAGCCACGGAACATGACTGTTGACTTCGCTAGGCAGAGTTGAGGAAGCCAATCAGGTTGATTGGCGTCAACCTGATTGGCGTGAATTCAAAGACCAAATCATAAATACGTATTCGTGCCGCCTGTCAAAGCTGCTGTTACTTCGTAGAGGTTCCAGCAAGTTGGTTTCGACGCATCCGTGCAATGAGCCAGCTGAACGGTAGACCTCGAGAAACGATGTGAAAGTGAGTTTTGGTAGATGGAGTACTCGAAGCTCAAGAACTTAGCCAGCAAGTCTTATCCATTTGGCATCCATCTGGTGCTAAATCTTGTCTTGAGAACAGTGGGAAGAAGTGTTGTCAGCTTCGCGTGAATGGCGCAGTAAAGAAGCATGGCATGTTACATAACAAGCTCATTGATGAACACGGGAACAAGACGGAAAGAGATTCATCGAAGAAGATGGTGGGAACAGTGACTAAAGGAAATGAGAATAGACTTCTGTGTGGCCTCTTGAAAACATGCTGTCTTTGGTGGCAAGCGGCGGGTGAAACATAGACTCTCAAGTGTGGCTGCACCAACGCACGACGGCGGCTGCTGCTGTGCATCGTCGGTACCGCGTGGTTGGCAGCCGGTGGGAAGGTGAGACGTCGCGCGCCTACACCACAGCACTGCAAGCGATGGCAGTCTTGGGTGATGGATGGACGGGCTATCGGCTGTCCTCCACACGTCGGGCTTGAAGTCCGGTTGCCAGGGTTGTGCGATCGGTGATCAAATCGAGGTGCTGGTTGGACGAGTCCGGGAGGAAGCACGCACGTCCTTGGTTCGACTTCTTGACTGCGGAGACGGAGGTTTTTTTGATCTGGGCGGGGATGTTTGTTTCTGTGCCCACTTTGCGTCAGGTATAGCAAGGAACGACACGACGACATTGTTGCGGTGTAAGCGTATTCTGGAGCTCGTGTTGATATATCTGGATGGGAATTATGGGATTATGCCTCGACAAGGTTGGCAGCGACGGCATTCGCACGGAATGGTGTCCATAAACTTGAAAGAAAAATAAAATCGAAATTTGGATACGCTGCACAATAAGCAACTAACTAGCATCAGACTTCAGTAGTCAGACTCGACTTGAAGAAAACCTGGCCTCGATGCGATGCGACCGCGAAGTGCGGCAGGGTGCAGGACCAGGAGGTCCTTGTCTTTGAAAGACATGTTTTAAAGATTGCTCATGGCCGTGGCCGTGGTTGATGGGCCATCTGGGAGGAACCCGCAATGACGGGATCCTCACGATGGGGTACCTCAGGGTACGTGATGGCGCTATATCGAGATGGGAGGAAACGTGGGAGACAATGTATCAGAAGTACAGAAATAGTAAGCTTGGAAGAGAAGGAGCGTGGGAGGTCAGCTTGGGTACGTATCGGAGCGCATGCCTTTTCTTGTCGGTACGTACGGATACGTACTTGGTAGCGCCGTCGCAGCTGAGAAGGTGCAGCACTGGCACATAATTGGATTGGGTGGCAAGAGCAGGTGCAAGGGGGGGCACTGGACAGACAGGGGGAAGGTGCCGCTGCCTTGCAGGTGCGGGAGAGAGAGTACCTGCCCTGGGGGAGCTTGAGGCGCAAGTTGCTCGTTGCTGTGGAGACGACGTCAACAAAGCCCATGACGCCGGCGGACGCCTTGGTAACCACCACCACGGCCCATCGCATCGCCTGTCGCCTGGTCTGAGATGGTTTCCTCAGTTACAGCTCCCCCCTCCAACCCGCCAAACCCACCAAAGGCCAGGCTTATACTCCCTTGCCTGTGGTCTGTGTCTGTTTGACTGCCGCTCTCCTCCCTCGTCTTTCCTGACTACTACTACCTCTCCTACCCACCCAGATTATCTCCAGAGTGGAATCTTGAATTTCCTCCCCTCCCCTCCCGTCAAATCCACTACTGCAGGAAGACTACCATCTATCAGTCCATCGCGCGGCTGAATTGCCAAACTTCCTCCAAAACCACTCAAACCAACAAACTCTTACCGCTTACAGCTACTCAAGAAGGTCCAAAAGAGCTTCTTGCGTATCTAACCAAAAACTTCTCTTGTTGCCAATTGACAATTTTACCTTTGCCTAGGTAGAGAGCACGCTCTCCGAGCTCTCACATCTTTCTTACCTCGCCTGAATAAGGCGTATAGACCAGATATCATCTGTTTAACCCGCAAAGTCTACCAAGACTGAGCACAACCTCTCTTACCCCCTAGCCCGGCACTTCTGCTTGCGCTGCGTGAGGTGAGTCTCGCCGTGCTCTCGCAACAACAATATCACAACCAAAGCTGACTTACACTCCTCCCAGTTTCGGACCCATAGGTTCCCATCGACAACAACCGACCGACGACAATCCCTTCCGGACTCAACCTTGCGACACAATGCTGTCCAATAACCCCCAAACCAGCAATCTTCATGCCCGTCACAGAGCACACCGACGCCAAAATTCGACACCGACGGCATTCGAAGCAGTGAAGATCCAGCCCTTGCCCCCAAATGTCCAGCGTCAACGAGCTCTCGGCCACCGCCGAGGCCTCAGCCTGGACACAAGAAGGCAGGACTTTGCACCGGTAAGTATGACTACTAACACAGGACTAGCACAACCGCAGCATGTACTGCGAGAAGCGCAGCAGCAACGCATTCAAGCACGCCCGGGCCCCCGCCAGCAGGCACACCTTCGACAACACTCACAACAACAAATTCACCGGAGACAGCAAATGTACATGGCCTCCAATGACCATGAAAACTACCTCATGTCCCCCCATGGAACGCCTCAGGCTCAGCGCTTCGACGCCACATGCTTCGACTCATCGCCCATACAGTACAACCAGTATGGCCAGCAGATGAACAACATGATGGCCAAGGGTCAGCAGGTCTATGGCGCGAACATGGGAGGCAACAAGGACTTTGAGCTCTTTGGCTCTGACAGCGCTCTCTCGACCCCTTCTTTCATGAACTTTAGCGACACTCCCAACACCCCTCAGGGCTGGATCTCTGAGGATGAGACTGCAAGCACAAGACGGTCTTCGCGGAGAATTAGCAATGGCATCATGGACAGAGTCAACAAATTCGAGACCATGGGCGTTGAGCAGATGCAAAGACCAATGACGCCACCACACCAGGATGCAAACAGTACGTCTTTCCGAATCTCACCTCCGCTCAGTCACTTACACGATCTAGACTACTTCCCCCCGACACCAATGGAGACACCCCACGACAGGGCCGTTAAGCACGAGCCCATGTCTGCCAGGCCGAGTCGATTCGCTGAGGGATACGACGAGTCCATGGAGGAGACTCTCAAGCCCGTGAGGAAGTCGAACCAACGCACCCAGAACATCTTTGAGGAGATGCGCAAGCAGTCGGAGCAGAACGTCATGACGGTTCCTCAGCAGCCCTCTCAGATCCCCCACGGTCTGTACGACCAGGTTGTGCCGACTGCCGACTTCATGAACATGAACAACTTCAACAATGAGTTCCTGAAGATTCAGGAGGTTCCTGGCTACGACGGCCTCTCTGATGATCTCCAAGTCTCTTCCGACATGTCCCAGCACTCGACTCCTCACACTCCTCTGATGAACTTCCACAGCGCTTTCGATAACCGCCCTGATCTCCACCACCCCAACATGACCATCGGTTCTATCTCGCCTTCCAGATCCTTTGACGACAGATCCTTTGATGATTCTCGCCTTTCTTCACCCCATCGCCGTACCGAGTCTCTTGCCAGCATTGCCAGTGCCGCGAGCATTGCAAGCATCAACATCGAGGAGACCAAGACTGAGACCGGCGTCACGCTTGATGACATTGCTACTTACATCACCGGACCCGATCCTGCAGATGGCAAATGGACTTGCACTTTTGAGGATTGTGGCAAGAAGTTCGGACGCAAGGAGAACATCAAGTCTCACGTTCAAACCCATTTGAACGACCGACAGTACCAGTGCCCTTCTTGCAAGAAGTGCTTCGTTCGCCAGCACGACTTGAAGCGCCATGCAAAGATCCATACCGGTATCAAGCCTTATCCCTGCGAATGCGGCAACAGCTTTGCCCGCCACGATGCTCTGACCCGCCACCGCCAACGTGGCATGTGCATTGGAGCGTTTGACGGCATCGTCAAGAAAGTTGTCAAGCGCGGCCGTCCCCGCAAGCACCGCCCCGAGATGGACGAGCGCGTCAACAAGTCGGCTCGCACAAGGACCAAGAACAAGTCGACCGCCTCCACATCATCGCAGTCCGGCTACTCAGATAGCTCTGCAGTCAACTCTCCCGAGAACGACTTCATGATGTCGGATGACCAATTCGAGATAGGCGATATTGACGAACGTCGAAACTTCGACATGCCCCTTCAAATCACCACAAGCTCATCCGCACCTATGCCTTCTTCGCCTCCACGTCTTCACCGGGATTCGCACTTGGAGACTTCCCCGGCTGCGAGCCACCATTCCGAGTACGTCTCCCCAGAGGCCCTGATGGAGGCACCCGTCTCGTTGCCCCAGCAACCAGAATCACCAGCAAAGAGCGAGTACAACACCCCACCGGAACTTTCCCAGTCTTCATCGCCACCACCCAATCAGTTCTTCGACGCCGAGCCCAATCACTCTGGTTTCAGCGACGATTCACTGCTGGCTGGAATGAGAGGCAATGCTGGTCCCATCGGCAGCACCAGCATCTCGAGCCTGGGCCTGGTCGATGCTGATGATGAATTGCTCATGAACATGAAGGCTTTCACAACCGAAGATGGTCTAGTTCAATTCGACCGTGAGTCCAACATGCTCATGATGAGCAAGTTTGACGAAGAATTCGAAGACCCAGTCAACATGTTCACCAACAACGATGATATTTTCTTTGGCAGCTCATGATGGATAATATTTTCTGGTGAAACGGTTCCCTTTCCGAAAGGTGTAGGACGGTGTCACGACTTCTTCTCTTCAGCAATGTGTACGTTATGACGCTTTACGCTTGTGCTTGATCTTGGTCTTTCTCAGCACCCACCACGGGACCATGTAATGACGACGGGTTATCGCGACGCTCTTCGTTCGCTGGACGGATGTACTATCACAATGGGGTATCAAAATGTTCGGTCTATAGGTGTTTTCGGTAATGATTCGGGTATTTTTGGCGATCAGCGGCGGGTTCTGGCCTTTATTTTTCTGGTATACGGCAACGGGATTTGGAATGAACATGAACCCGATGTCTGGCGCTGGGCGACCGCGCGTGTGCCTTACGCCTCGGTTGGGTTCTGGGATTACGCGATAGAAGAGATAAGATGAATTGAATTTGGGATGGATTTCAAATTGTTTGATTTACTGTGACTGTGACTATGACTGTGACTATGACTGTGACTATGACTGTGACTATGACTGTGACTATGACTGTGAATATGAATCAAATGTGTTCGACGTGTGTGACTGCTGAGACCATGTGTATCGCCAACAGCGGCTATGAGGCTTTTGCTTTGAGACTTTACTTTTTCTTTTCTCCCCGATTTTTACATCACATTCCTGAGTGGAGGAAAACTTCGTCATGGGAGCCGGTGCGTGTGACCTCGGGGTTCCACCTGTTGGAATGCAAAACATCTTCAGCAAAGGTGGCAGCGTCGAGAACAAGTCGGCTTGCCGTCGTGCCGTCCAAGTTCTAAGGACGGAGAATTACGGATACGTAGGTACTCGATGCTGAGACTGGCTGCTTCTAGGTTCTTACGATTGTGCTTGCAGCGTTGTATAGCTGAATCTGTTGGGGGTGTACATTCCAGTTGTGGCCCCGAGTGACGGGCGTTGAGGAGGACGGTGCTTGGATGATGGATACATGACTTTCATATTCTATTTTAATAAAGGGACAGCCTGCTCGGCCTCTGAGGCCTCCATCGAGATCAGATGGCGGTATCTTGGTACTTGGGGCTCGTGATTGTTTCAAGATCTTGAAGAATTCTAGTCAAGGACTATTCTCTAGGGATTGAGGCACGGCAAGACGGCGTTCATCGAGAAAGCTGAGGTATCCCTATGAGGGTCTTTCCGAGCCCTCGAATGCTCCTTGGATAGGAAGAGGTGAGGTCCACCTGTGAGGTACCTGAGCCACTTTCTCCCTCTCTCCTGCAGTTCTAACCACCCCCAACGGCTTCGATTGTCCACTATTGCGGCGCCACGCATGGAGAAAATCGAACCAAAGCCCGTCTTTGCTGCGTGTCCACACCCCTCCAGGCTGTAGCTGCCTTCCCTCTTCCAAGTTAAGCCAATGACCGCTACCTTGTAGAGTAACTGAAAGCTTAGCGCCCATGATCACGACCTTCACTGCATTTTGAGGACCTGTCAGGGCTTCAACATGGCGCATGGGTCTGGGCATTTTCAAGTGACAGCTGCGCTTACAATCACACCAAGTGAAATCACACACAGAAGATTAGAGAGCAGGTGTTCATGACAGACGACAAATGACCCAGTCTATTCGGACTTCTTAAAGCCAAAGCCCCTGGGGGCCAGTTCTAGGTATCATACAGACGCCATTTCATCGATTCCTGAATTTTGATTTCCTTTTTTGATTCTCATTCATTTAACCCGGTCATAAAACCCCCCTTCTTTACCGACGAGGCATACCCCGTCCTCTTCCTCTCAGAGCGCGCTGTGCGGCGCCCGGGGGCAGCTGCTGACCAGGGGCCTGTGGCTGCGCGCTCTCCTCGTTGCGGATGGTCTCGTCGACGCCGAGGATGAGGCAGCTGGCCTCGGTAGCGGCCTGAATGGCGTTGATCTTGACCAGCGCCGGCTCCCACACGAAGCGCTCCATCATGTCGGCGATGCCCTCGTTGATGAAGTCGACACCGGCCCAGGTGCTGCCCTTGCGGTGCTCCACGCGCAGCTTGTTGAGGATGTCGGTCGCGTCAAAACCGGCATTGTCGCAGAGCTGGCGGGGGATGATCTCGAGAGCCTTGGCGAAGCTCTTGATGATGGCTTGTTGCTTGTGGGGGATGTTCTTGTCGGCGAAGCGGTGGAGGTATGCGGACACCTCCATCTCAGCGGCACCGCCACCACCGACAATAGTGTGGTTCTTGATGGCGCGCTTGACGATCATGATGGCGTCGTGCAGGGAGCGCTCGACTTCGGCGATGAACTGCTCAGCACCGCCACGGAGGACGAGTGTGCAGGTCTTGGCCTCGGGGCAGCCCTCGAAGAAGTTGAAACGCTCGCCTCCGATCTGGCGCTCGTCGAAGCTTCCGCAGGTACCCAGGTGCTCCGCAAGGATATCTGAGCATGTGGATTGAACAGTGGCACCGGTGGCCTGGACCACGCGCTCCATGTCCTCGGATGTGACGCGACCAGCGCAGAAGATGTCGCGGTCTGCAAAGTACTGGGTAGCCAAGTCGCCAATGGGCAGCTTGCTGAGCACAACCTTTGCGCCCGTCTTGTAGATAGCCTCCAACTTCTTGTAGATAATCTGCCACTCAGCGTCGACAACAGCCTGGTAATCGGACACCTGCTCAACGCGGACCTCGGCGTTGTCCTTCTCGGCCTTGAGCTCCAACTCGACGTTCAAGCACACAATCTTGGGCTTCTCGAAAGACTTGGGTTGTTGCTCGAAACCGGCGTAGGAGAATGTCTTCTTGAATGCGACACCGTTGACGAATAGTGACTCGGTGAGGGAACCGCCGGGAATCTTCTTCACGCCGATCAACTTCTCGTTCAGGTCGTCCTGGTCCAGGGAGAGGACGGCGTCCACGACCACTGCGCCCGATTAGCATTTGTGTCACTGGAGGAGTGCATCCAACGTACTCTTTGTGAAGAACTCGGTGTTGCGCTTAATCAGCTTGCTCGTCATGGCGGTAGCCGCCAGTTTGCCGAGCGTTTCCCTTCTGTTGCTCTCGTTGGTGTCGATGGCAATCTCCTTGATCTTGTTGACGGCCATCATAGACGCTCTCCGCAGACCCTTGATAATAACCTGGGAGCTGACGCCCTGCTCAACGTGCTCCTTGATCTCCTTCAGGATCTCTCCGGCCAAGACGACGACGGACGTTGTGCCGTCACCGACCTCAGCATCTTGTGATCTCGCGATATCGACAAGGATTCGGGCTGCGGGGTGAATGATGTCGAGGAGCTACATGCGCGTCAGTATGCCTGAGTCTCCCATAAACAGTCCTTGCGGTCCTTCCAACCTTCATAACAGTAGCACCATCGTTGGTGATTGTCTGTCTGCCGTTGGCATCGACCATCAAGAGGTCACCTCCATAGGGACCGAGAGTAGACTTGATCGTGGCCTGGACAGCCAAGCAGGCGTTGATGTTGGAGATAATCTGACCCTTGCCCTGAGAGGTATCGGTTCCTGCGCAACATGCTCGTCAGTCACAGTTTCCAGGTCGGCAAGGGGAAGGCGGTGGGGTAGCGCACCCTCTTTCAGGACAATAATGGTCGGGGTCTGGCCTCCGAACGACATTTTGGGCGATTATTTCGATGCGACGAGTACAGCGGTAGGGGTGACACTCGACGGTATGTTCAGGATTCGTATGTCGTCGCGGGGAGAGGCTGTACTTATGCTGTTCGTGGCCCAAGAAGCTTCTGGAGCTCCAAAAAATTATTGCAGCCTTTCGTGATGTTCCCCGGGCACGGACCAAGGTGTGGCTGCCTTACCTTAGCTGGATTATGTAATTGAGGAGGGGTACTCACGACCCCTGCGACTTCCCCGCCAAAACCCAGGCGAAGTTTCAACATCACCAATTCCTCGGAAATTCTTAATGTGTGATCAGTCAATCTTCGGCCACCAAGTCTGACGATGGATACCATCCTGGCTTCTTGCTATACATCCATGTTGTAAATGCTAATTCTCACATGGTTTCATATCGGTGCTTACTCTCGACATGGTCGACAACACGGCATGTATCTTCAAGCTGGTCAAGGCAGTTCGAGACAATGTTCTCACGCCAATCAGCGGTCTCGCGGGATGCAGGCTGACTTGGCTGCCTCCCCCGTGTCTACCTATTTCATCGCCTTCATCCGACATTTTTGAATCATTCTGGTCATCGACCACGACTTAGCCACTAGAGGGGCTTGTTCATTACTTGCGTGGCTCAGATGATGTCGACCTTCACGTACGACGAGAAACTTGCCCTCGACGAAATTCGATTGATCCAGCTTCTCCCGGGAGAATGGCTCGACGGTCTCGAATGCAGGCTATATCTGGCCCAGCAGGAGCACAAGTATCAAGCCTTGTCCTATACATGGGGGAGCTCGAAACGATCAAACCAAATCACCGTCAACGGCAAAATCCACAGGATTACTTTCAATCTAGACAGGGCATTGCGTTCTGTCCGAGGACAGACAAAGGCAATCACTCTCTGGGTCGACTCCATCTGTATTGATCAAAATGACGCTGCCGAAAAGAGTCACCAAGTTGGCTTGATGCACAGTATATTTCGTAATGCAACTGAAGTTATTGCTTACCTGGGGGATGGCTTGGATCGGAGCCGCAGGGACTACGCACGTCGCTTTGAAAAGCTAGGGAAGAGCCCCCTTATCAATTTCGGCTCATTGAGTGAGGCCAGCCTTGCAGGAGTGAGCGAGGTCAGTCTCAGACGAATGAGTGCGTCCGGCATGTATAAGGGGACCCCTATATATGAGGACACCCTCTTCATGGAGGTTCAGGGGCTCTGGGACAAATGGAAGGACTCTCCACCGGAGTCACTCACGGAACATGAAGAGATCATATGCTTATACGGCCTTCTCATGGAACTTTCTGGTAGCCTCCAATACCACATGTTTCCGGGCAAGCAGTCGCCAGAACAAAATGGTATGTGGCTCGATCTCAGCGAAGCACACCGACGAGTGCTTTCTGAAAGAATGCGACATTTTGCGACAAGCGACTGGTGGAATCGGATGTGGATTGTCCAAGAGGCATGTGTCGCTCGACAGCTTACAGTTGTTTGCGGTCGTGCCTCTATCCCTTTTCTCTGCATCGGCCACGCGGCTCAAGCACTTCTACACTCACCCGTCACAAAACACTCGGATTTGGCCAAGGTCATGATCTTCGTGGCGGGCAAGATAGACGCAATCAACACTTTACGCCTCGGATTCGGCAGCTTGACGCACTTCACTACAAGCAATTCCCTGTTGTGGCTTCTCAGAAGATTCCGCAGCCGCAAATCTTCAGAGCCGCGAGACAAGATATTTGCTCTTTTACGACTTGCCGAGGATCTGAAAAGGACAAAGCCATTTCGAGATAACCATTTATGCATCACGGTCGACTACGGCATTGATGTTGGTGAAGTATTTTCCGACGCTGCATACGATATCGTACGCGACACTGGTCTCCTCTGGATGACGACAACAGATTTGCTCGCCAAGACCCGCATAGACATTCCTTCTTGGGTGCCAGATTGGTCTTCCGAACACATGGTTCCTGGGTTCAACCAGAGACGATACCGCCTTCAAGAAGAAACCCTTCTGCACTTCAACGCAAGCCGTCTACGATTTTGCCACTCACAACTTCATTCGTCGAATGATCAACCAAGATACGCACTACCTCAACAACACTTCGAAGAATTACTCAAGGGAGACGACCGAGACAGGTGGAAGCCTGTGCACTGCCTCCCGAGTATGATCAAATACACATCAAGCCCTCCATTCCAAAAGGACCGGCAGCGTTCTGCGCTGATTCTTCAAGGCGTAACTTGTGGCGTCGTTGCATCTGCAAGCGTTGTCATTCTCAGTGATCTTTCGAACATTGGTCTGGCCATTCTCCAGGTTCGAGAAAGCTACGGGGGACATGGAGGTTGGCAGATTGGCCAGAGATCGTTTTTCGAGACTGTCGTAACCTGTCTTTCCTCATCTGTACAGATCCTGTGCGAAAATGGCGGACATCCCGAGAAACTCGAATCACAGAAACGACGCGAACTCGCCATATGGGCCTTCAATCGATACAAAGAATACCTGGAGCTTAAAGGTGATCTGCCAGACTTGGAACAGGAATTCTCGCACGAGGCCGCAGCTTGTGCCGACGGCTGCGATGTTGACGCCCTTGGCTCAGTGGGAAGTCCCCTAATACGGTTCCTTTGCCCAGTACAACACCGCGATCGGCAGCATATAAGAACTCTAGTGCCCCAGGCTGCTGCGTTCAGGCTAGTTGCTCTACCTAAGGATCACGATCTACGAGCACCGTCAAATCTGCACGTTCCACCGTGGATTGAGGACACCGTCAGGACTATGGCCGCCGGAAACCGACTATTCGTCACTAATAGAGGCCAAGTTGGGCTGGGTCCGGAGAGCATGCACGTGGGAGACTCGCTCTGCGTCCTTGAAGGTGGACTTGTGCCGTATATTTTACGGAAACACGCTGGGACAATTTATACCGAGTCTTCGATGGTCCATCAAACAGAAAGCATCATGGGCACGCATCGGTTTACCATGGTCGGAAGCTGCTATGCTGACGGCATCATGCACTGGGGTGACGAAGAGCATGGTTGGGGAGATAATGCTGATGACATCGAGAGGCTGGAATCGAAGCTGAGGCGAAAGCTCAAAGCTCCTGAACTCGTCGAAACCGCATTTCTTCTGGTCTAAGCTAAGTACGCAGCGTGGTTATATACAGCGTCATCTCTTTAGATGAGCTGTGAAGGTTGAGGCTGAACAGAAAGGAAATTCTGATGGTATTTATCTCAGTCTCTTACCTATGAACATAATAGACCCCTATCCTACTACGCCAGTCATGTATATCAACCCCTGAGAAAGCCGACATGTCTTACCAAGAAACACCTCGATCCTCTATTTGAATCTCCACTCAACATCCTCCCATCCAGCTCGCCTCGAAAGAGTCGCCTTGCTAGACTTGCTTCCATAAATAGGCGACCGCAGACCTGAAGTAGAGAACGGCATCTCGTGATCCGGTACCTGCACGCCCTCGAGCTCGAATCCGACAGCCAAGCACGCCACCGCGCCCAACAACTCGGCAAACGCGAAGTTGCGGCCAGGGCAGAGATGCTTACCGCCACCAAACGGCACAAACGACTCCTTTGTGCCCTTTGCAATGTCGGGCGTGTTCTTGAGCCACCGCTCCGGGTTGAACTCCTCGCCGTCCTCGCCCCAGACAGGCTTCTTGTGCATCACGGATGCGCTCCACTGCACCTCGACGCCCTCCTTGAGAAGGTACTGCCGTCCCGTCTCGTGGTCCGTGATCGTCGTGTCCTTGCTCGTGACGGTCCGGCTGCCGGTGACGGTGTTCTCCGAGCGGAGCGTCTCCCGGTAGCACGCGACCACGTACGCGCACGACTTACCCAGCTCCGTGACGTCGATTGTAGCAACGCGCTTCCCGCCCTCGGCGGTGATGGCGAGCGCTGCCGAAGACTCGACTTCCTCGCGGACGCGGGCGAGGTACTTGGGGTTCGCAAAGACGTTGACGATGAGCCAGAACATGGAGGGCGCGGTGTTGACGGTCGAGGCGGCGGGGAGGGAGTCCATGGCGCCGAGCATGATGTCCGAGAGGCCGAAGCCGCGCCAGAACTCGGCGCGGCCGCGGATGGTAGCGGAGACGGTCGGGCCTTGGTCCATTTTGCGCATGTAGTAGCCTACGAGGCCCGTGACGATCTTTTTGCGGGCTTCGAGGGCTTTGCCGGCGATGATTTTGGAGATCCAGCCGTATTGCATCTTGCCCATGCCGCTTTCGTATGTCCTACGCCGAGGGTGTCAGCAACTTATAGACTTACAGGGAGAAGATGTGAAGAAAACATGGTGATGAGGAGAACGGGAAAAACATACCAAATAGCGTCAACCAGCTCCAAGTTGTTGAACGGGCTATGCTCGCCATACAAAGCCCTCGTCGTCGCAACGCCAATCAACCCCCGAGCCCAGTAAAACACATCATCAATCTTCTCGGGGTTACCGGGCTTCACCTCGTTGAAGCGGCTGCTAATGTAGTCGAGCGCGCTCAGGTTCAGTTTGAGCAGGTTCTCGCCGGACAGAGCCGAGATGGTGACGCGAGAGATCTCCTCGACGGCGTTCTCCTTGACGAGGCGGTGGGTGACTTCCGGGTTGATGCCCATGGCGCGGCCAATCTCCTCGATGCGGGCGCCGAACTCGAGCGTCTTGTTGCGCATGGCGCTCTGGACGAGCGGAGCGCTGTTGATGACGTACATTTTCTTGCCGAGGACTGGGATTGTGCAGATGGGGAGCTTTGTGCGTTTACTGTTGGTGTAAGATTTAGTTGTTAGTGATGTGATTTTGCCATGATGTCCTTCATGAGGTCCTGCCTCTGAAGGGCGTATCTAGAATGTCTAAAGCGTTGAGGGGGTGTTGTTCGACTTACGCCAGCTTCTCGTAGACACCAGGGTACGATGTGTTCACGGTGATCCAGTGGCCGATGATGGGAAGAAGGCCCTTGACGACGGGGGGCTCGCGGGGATCCACGGGCGCGGCGACGAACTTGTCAATGACCATCAGGACCGTGACGACGAGGGCCACGGCCGAGGCGATCAGCTTGACGGAAGATGTCGAGCTGAAGCGCTCCAACAGCGTAGCGACCGCAGTCGCGGCGGCGCTTGAGGAATCCGCCATCGCGAGGCTACAGAAGAAGAGATCAAGCGTCTGTCGAAAGGGAAAGTGAGAGCTGTGTCAAAGAGGAAACAAGCTCACAGTGGAAGGGGAGGTAAGGTAGGGTAAGGTAGGTGGAGTGAAAAGTGTCGTTTGTTCCATCGTCCGGCAGTGAGAGACGTCCCTCGTGGTTTTATATAAGTCGTTTGACTGCGTTTCGCCCAAACCCTTCGCTTCCCTTGCCTCCCCCCCCTCCACCTCCTCGGACTCAACGTCCAAGCCGTCTCATCAAAACATAGGGTGACAGGTACAGGTCTTGTTCGACAAAACACGGTTCAGATGAGCTTCCCTAAACCTTCTTTTCGCATATGCAACTTGCACTGCCCTTGCCTTTTGCTCGTTTCCCCATCCATGAGTAGGAAACTAGGTAGCTTAAGCAAGCGGGGGATCCTAGGCACAACGCGAAAGGGGGGTAAGGATTACGATTCCTCGCTCTCTCATTGGCGTACTATCGTCTAACGAGACGGCATTTCTAATTGCTCATGCTATCCGCGTATAACGAAAGATGTGCAATTAGGGTGCCCATACATGTGGCCGCAGCATGGCATTGGCGTGTGTTCTGCGAGCATTATCTTGCAGGAGTCAGTCAGGGGAGAGCTTCGCGAAGCTTGGAAGCATGGTGAGTTGGGGATCGTCTCCCCCGCCAAGCCTTGGGCCGAACGGGAAAAGGCGTTTTGTTAATTCCCCGCGCGCCAATGAAACCGCAAAGGCCTAAAGACTGCCCCGGTCTCGGTTTCGGTTCCGCATTACCAGGGGGTTAACGATGCGATCCCGAGTCCGCCTTGCTACAGTTCCTCAAGCTCTAACATGCAGCACAGGTTGCACGGTAAGCTGTGTTTAGCTCGTACAGCTGTACGAAATATGAGCTTTATAGTTTCGATGAGGTTGGGGAATCGACGTATAAGAAAGCGATAGCTGAATCCTGGAAATATGAGTGAATGAAAGAAAGTTGCGTCTTTAAACCACTGCTCTCACTCTATCTCTAAACCGAAGTCTCGATACACCCCATAACCCCCCTCTCTCTCAAACAAGCAGAAATCATGGCCAGCGTCGAAGGACTTCGCGTAATCGTAGCCGGCGCAGCAACAGGCGTCGGCGCCGGCACCGCAAAGCTCCTTGCCGCCCGCGGCGCCAAAGTCGTCGTCGCCGACATCAACATCTCCGCCGCCAAACAGGTCGGCGAAGAAATCACCGCCGCCGGCGGCAGCGCCCTCGTCGTCGAGTTCGACCTCTCGGACGAGGAGTCCATCAAGAACCTGATCGCGCGGGGCACAGAGTGGCTCGGCGGCGGCCTCGACAGCCTGCTCAACATCGGCGCCGACCTGAGCCCGCAGAACCTGGGCAACGACAAGTCGGTGCTCGATATGGACGCCGCCGTGTGGCAGCGCACGTTCTTGGTGAATACGACCGGGTATGCTCTTACGACCAAGTATGCGCTGCCGCATTTGAAGGCGGCGGGGGGCGGTACGATTATCAACATTTCTAGTGTAAGTCACTCTCTCCCTATCCCCACCATTTTGGCGGCAAACATGTGAGGAGAGGAAGAAAATTGACTGAAACAAAGATGGGCGGCCACTACATGGGCACGCCGGAACCGATCCGCGTAGCCTACGCGGCGTCCAAGGCCGCCGTGCACGCCCTCACCCGGCACACGGCGGCGACCTACGGCCCGGACAACGTGCGCTGCAACACCGTCGCACTCGGCCCCATCCTGACGGCCGCCCTCGAGAGGGGCATCGCCGCCAGCCCGGCCATGCAGGAGGGCTTGAAGAGGGTCCCTCTGCGGAGACTTGGTAAGCTGGAGGAGGTTGGCGCGCTGTTGGCGTTTATGATTTCGCCCGACGCGGCGTACATTACCGGTGACATTTGGTCTATCAACGGAGGAACTCACGTCATGACATATTAGTGGAATTAAAAGTAGTCTATGCAGGCGATTACATAAATTTGAAAAGGAGTTTCACGTTTTTCGCCGTTTTCCTTGCGTTTTCAAAGTAGAGACTGTCTCTCTAGGTTGTTGATTTTGACTTTGGTGGGTAATGATGGAGTCGTGGAGACTACGTTTTTGCATGAGTCTATTTCATCCCGGTCTATCGACTTTCTGCCTACTAGATCTAGCTGAAGAGTAATACTGCCCAGATCGCAAAACTCAAATGAGAAAGCCAAAATATAGTAAGTAGTACGAGCTACTTCTGACATTGGGGGTATCAAAGTCGAACCTCATGTTCAAGGCAATTTCGTACAGTCTATAGTGGAACGTATGACGCGCGTTGTACGTTACTATCCGCGTATTACATAGTACAACGGTAAATGAGACACGAAGCCCGACCAATAGCGGCCTTGTAAGTCGTACAGACTAGGCAATCAAACAACCTAGTAGTCTCGTAGGATGTAATGGAAGATGGCTCAGTGGGGTTGCCTTTATCCGTAGACTCATGCTGCTCGTCTACCTTACCTAGTAGATATTTCGCCCCTAGACCTTGTATGCCAGACAACGTCACTACATCTTACACCGACATCGTAGCAATCAAGAACTCAATATTACGATCGACTTTATGAAAATACTCACGTACAGTAATGGCCAAAGACTAAACGGCTGCTCACTACTTTCAACTGTGGCACTCGCCCCGGGGGTACGTCTTTTGGCACAAGTCCTGGCCTACATTGCCAATGCGTCGTTCACCATGACTTACACTACAGCCCACTCGAGTCTCGCTCAACACGAACTAAATAAGATAAGATATCAGAAGGCGGTGCCGCAAAGAGAGCCTCTCCCCCGGTAATAACCAAAGCCAGAACCGGAAGCCCTCAAGTTTCCCCAAACGCCGGAATCAAGCGTACGATAATCTTACAAACCGAGTGCGTGGACGTCTTGATGCCCACGTGATTGCTTGCTTTAACGTACATTCATCTTCACAAGATGATCAATGCGTCACGAGAAGAAGCGAGGCGATATCGCACAACCTTGTGCGAAGAGGTGGTGACATCAAACGTGCCGTAATTTGCAGCCAACCCCCCCAAATCCGAGAGTCTTTCGCAAGCAGAGGTGTCACGTCCGCGTCCTCAACGACTGTCCCCTTATGCGTTTAGTTGTTGCTCAAGGAATAAGAAAGGGCCTTCCTAGGTAGGCAACGATAAGGTCAAATTTCTATACATTAACACCCATCACAGCCTAGGTCCTACCGAAGCTTCTACTACCTTACCCGTTCAGGCTTCCTTGACGCGCGAAGGTCGTCTCAATCACATCTGTCATCAAAGCGTATTCTCATTTTCTATAACCTTAGGGTTGTCTATTGTCATCATATTCTCTACAACACACGCCAGCACTCACTCTCTCAACTTTTGTTTCTCCCCTATGAAAACCCGCTCGCCAAAGACACACCCTCACCTCAACTCCGCCGTCAGCCGACAATATCCCGCCCAACCCAAAACATGAAAGTAAAAACAACAGTACTTCATTTATGCCTTGGACAGCAGGTTCGCGCCAGTCATCTCCTCAGGCTGGGGCAGACCCATCGCAGCCAAGACGGTAGGCGCAACATCACCCAGGACGCCGCCCTCCTTCTTGAGGCTCCAGCCCTCGGGGGCGTTGGCCATGATGAAGGGCACCTTGTTGGTGGTGTGCGACGTCTTGGGCTTGCCGTCGGCAAACTTCATCTCCTCGGCGTTGCCGTGGTCGGCGGTGATGAAGAGGACGTAGCCCTCCTTCTTGCAGGCCTCGTAAATCTTGCCAATGGCCTTGTCTGTGGCCTCGACGCCGACGATGGCGGCCTCGTACACGCCCGTGTGGCCGACCATGTCCGGGGGCGCAAAGTTGTTCATGACAAAGGGGAATTTCTGCTCGCCCAGGCGCTTGGCGACCTGGTCGGCGACGCCGTCGGCCGACATCTCGGGGGCCTGATCGTAGGTGGCGACGGACTTGTTGGAGGGGACGAGGTCCTGGGACTCGTCGCGGGTCTCGAGGGCGAACACCTTTTCGACGCCGCCGTTGAAGAAGAAGGTGACGTGGGCGTACTTTTCCGTCTCGGCGATGTGGACCTGCTCGACGTTTTGCTTGCCGAGCCACTCGGCGAGGACGTTGCCCATGTGCTGGGGCTTGAAAGCGATCTCGAAGGGGTAGTCGACCTTGTACTGGGTCATGGTGACGAGGTTCTTGATCTTGGGGAACTTGAAGTCGGGGAGGACGGAGCGGTCGACGTCGCCGAGCACCTGGGTGATTTGGCGGACACGGTCGGAGCGGTAGTTGAAGAAGAAGACGGTGTCGTCGTCTGGGGATTTCTGTTAGTTACGAAGGGTGCTTTTTTGGGGGGATAGAGGTGCTCACCCTTGATGCGGCCCTCATCGCCGCCGACAATGATGGGAGTCAGGAACTCGTCCTTGTCCTTGTCACCGCCCTTGGCGTAGCGCTCCTTGACGGTCTTGACGGGGTCGGTGCTCTCCTCGCCCTTGCCGTTGATCAAGCCGTCGAGGGCGATCTGGACTCTCTCCCATCTCTTGTCACGGTCCATGGCGTAGTAGCGGCCGACGACGGTGGCGATCTCACCAATGCCAATCTCCTTGGCGGTCTTGACGAGCTCCTCCATGTAGCCGGCGCCGGACTTGGGGTCGGTATCACGGCCATCGCCGAAGAAGTGGATGTAGACCTTGGGGACGCCGTATTGCTTGGCGGCCTTGAGAAGGTTGTAGAGGTGCTCTTGCTTGGCGTGCTGGGAGGATTGTGTGTTAGACTATCATACATCTTGAGGGAAGGGGAAGATGGGCTCAGAATCTGGAACTCACCACGCCACCGTGGGAGACGAGACCGCAGAGGTGCAGTCTGCCGTTGCCGTTCTTGGCACCCTCAAAGGTCTTCTTAATGACCTCGTTGTCGGCGAACTTGCCCTCCTTGATGGTCTGGTCGATGCGCACAACGTCCTGCCAGACGACACGGCCGGCGCCAATGTTCAGGTGACCGACCTCCGAGTTACCCATCAGACCCTCGGGCAGGCCGACGGCAATGGAGGAGGCGTCGAGCTCGCAGTATCCGGTCTTGCTCTGGGCAAAGTCGTCCATGACGGGGGTCTTTGCGTTGGTAATGGCGTCGCCATCCTTGGGGGAGTCGGCGCCGGGCACACCCCAGCCATCAATCACGACTGTAGGAGCGCAAGATCCACAAGATTAGCCAGCCGACTTGGAGATAGAGGATGATGTAGGCAAGGGTGAGGACGTAATCGGGATTGGATTTGGATTTGGGAATTGGTTGCGGTTGCTGGGGGAGAGGCGAGGGGATTGTTTCTGCTGGCGGCGCGTTCTGGTGGGTTTGGTGGCCAGCCTCGACAACACTCACACCACCACCATCTCCATCACCGCGGGGCTTTGACGAGGGGCACGGAGGGTCTGGAGGGAGATCTTTGGACGTACTCAGGCAGGCCTTCTGGTCGGTCTTGGCCATGGTGAACTAGGTTATTTTCTGTGCAGCAATTTCTTTACAGAAGGGGGTATATGGATGAAAGCAGAGTTCTAGGAAGTGCGTGATTTTTTTCTGTTCTGGGAGATGGAGACTTTTATTTACGGCGGCGGCGGTGGTGGTGAGAGGTGCCAGGCTGGTTGAGGAGATTTGATTGAATCAGCCAATGTACCACCTTTTCTTAGGTACAGTGAGCTTTCCCGGCGCTGGGCTGTTTTATCGGTGTCGGTGGTTTGGTGGGGGTTTATGTCATAGTATCGCCGATAATAGATCCGTGTCGTTGCACTCCGTAATCACACTGTCTCTAGCCACGATATTTGATACGGAACGTACAGTGCCATCTCCGTCAGAAACGGTGCGGGCTGCCCGGCTGCCCCTCTGTTGACTTTCAACAATTTTTAGCTACCAATCGCCGCGCCGCTAAAACGCCCGTGGAAGCTCCTTGCCCCGGCGGAGCTTCCCCCCCTCCCTTGGCCCTTGGCCCTTGCCGTTCCAGCTTGACAGACCCTGGAAGTGGACGGACCTCACCGAGCAACTCACCTCACCTCACCTCATCTCACCTCATCCCACCTACCTGCACCTCTCCCGTGGCGCTTTCATTGACTTTCCAAGCCTCGACCACGCAGCCAACGAATGTCCTTCTCCATCACGCACCTACCGCGAGGCTGAGAATAGTCCGATACCTCTCCACAAAGCACTCGTTTCACCTACACTCCTCACCACACATCCGTCAACAACGCAGAACGTCTCCTCTCGAATCACACAAGGCCCCGAAACCAAATCAAACCACCCAAAATGCCGCCTCACCCCCTCGAATTACCCCCAACCCTCTCCCCAGACGCCCTCGACACCCTCACCGAACTAACAGGCATCCTAACCCGCCTCCGAACCGCAATCCAAACCTCGGGCTCCTCCTCCTCCTCCATCGGTGGCGGCCTTACCACAGGCGCAACCCCAGCCGGCGCCGGCGCGACGCCCAACCCCCTCGGCGGCGGTGCAGCCTCCGCAGGCAGCCCCAACGCGCCGCTCTCTCTCAAAGACGTCCCCGCGCAGACCGACGCCCTCAAGCACAAGCTACAGCGCGCCCGCACGCAGATGCGTACCCTGCCGGATATGGAGCGTACCGTTGAGGAGCAGGAGGAAGAGATCAAGGAGCTCGAGGAGAGGATACGGATGCAGCGCGAGGTGTTGGATCGGTTGAGGGAGGCGGGGGTTAAGTTTGGGCACGAGGAGGGCGGGCGGGGGGATAAGATGGAGACGGAGTGATGGGAGGGATGGAATAGGCGGCCTTTACGACTCGCTGCGAGGAAAGAAAGGCTTTAAACGAGATGGAGGAAAGAGGAGAGCTTGGGACGAAACGTTTTCGCCAGATTGACATTCCTATGATACCCCGAAATGCGAATTATCAAACGAAGATATTTTGAGAGCCGAGAAAGGACGCTGTGTTTTTCGCGCCGCATCACATGCATCCTTTGCGATAGCAAAACCGCCCTTCCTTAAAACTCCAACCCGGGACTCGACTCAGGAAACTTCAAGCAGCAACGGTCTCTCACTTTCTCTCGCATCCCCATCGATTAACACCAACCTTCCATCTGAGTTCAATGCTTCTGAACCCCGACTGCCTTGAGGATGTCGTGCAAATCCTTGCCGCGCTCCCCCGGCACAACCTTTGTCCAAATCTCCTCGGGCAGCCTCTCCTTCTCAGCCAAGACGCTCCAGTTGGGACTGGGTTCCGACTTGAGCCACTTGAAATCGTCTACCTGGTCCCACTGGTTCTTGGTGGGGTCTTCTGTGGTGTCCTGCTCAGCAGTCAGCAGCTGGTATCTTGATATCTAAAAAAGAAAAAAAGAAGAAAAAGAAAAGGAGGGAGAAAATGAGTATAGACGCGTAGGGGTTTACTAACAAAGCTAGGCGGCAACGGCGCAAAGCGCATATTCGAACAATCCTCGATGATCGGGTGACTCGAGCAGTGCAGATAAATATCCACATTCCTACACTCGTGAATGCGCACCTGCCGTGCCGAAACGACGATGATACTATCCGACACGCCCGTGATATGCGCTGGCCCAGCCACGTTGCCCGCAACAATCAGACTCCTCTCGACGTTCTTGAGCGCCAGGTTCGCAAACGAAGTTCGGCCCGAGAGCGCAATGGACATGTCCACCACACACCCTTTCAGATCCGTCAAGCGGCCCGAAGTCGTCGCCCTCGACGCCGAGGACGGGAGGATGATGTGCAGGCCGTCCTGGCCGAATATGGCAATGTCCTTTGCGGTGGAGAAGCTGGGTTTTCGAACCTTTGTGGCGCTGGGGCGGGCCATTTCCTCGTTGTAGTTTTTGGGGAAGTTGGGGAGGTCGCCAAGGCCGTCTGTGTCCGTCTCCGTGGCGGCCTGAGTTACGGCGGAGGAGGAGGGGGGAGCGGTGACCGGCCCGCCACGGGATGGGGGGAGGGGGTCGGCGAGGCTTGCTCCTACAATGAGACGGGGGTCAATTTTGGGCGCGGCTGGGTCATTGGTGGTTGATGTTATTGCTGAGCTGGCTCCGCGGGGCTTGAATTGGAAGCGCGAACGCGGGGCCAGCTTTGCTGTGGTCTCATTCAGCTTGTCTGTGAGAGCTTTGACGGCCTGATTGAGCGAAGGGTGTCAGTCAACTGCTTTTGGCAATCGCTGAGTAAGTCATGGAATCCAACCCACCTGGGCGTAGTTGCGCTGGTCGTACGAGGGGACATAGTCGGAAGCGTCGGCGACTTCGTTGGAGAGATTCGATATGCCAGCCAGGATGTGATCAATGGCGTCCTGTCTCTCACCACCGACCTGAGATATGGAGCTCACATTGTCGATCTGCTCTTGTAGACCTGGGTGCGGGGTTCTTGGTCAGTATACGGCCCAGAAAAGATCAGACGACCATTCGGTCCTTGTTTTACGGGGCCAACATACTGATAACCTCTTCTTGAAAATGGTGATAAAACTTCTCTTTCGGATCCTGCATCTTGGTTACTGGGAGTCCTCCGCCTACGGCAAATTGTTGAAGTACTTCGGGTGCCATTGTCGTCGTAGTGGCGGGGTACAGGAAATGAAAAAGTGGAAATCGTATCTGATTTTATATACGAACGAACAGAGCCCAGCCAGAAAAGAAGCTCGGGACTTGTGTTTCAAGAAAGTGAGGAACGAAGATTTGGGCCTACCTGATGAGAGGTAAGGCAAAGTAGACAAGCTTGGTGTAAGACGATCCAAAAAGTGGCGTGTCTTCAGACGGTGGGGTGTGCGACCAAGTCTGTTTTTAAAAGTCCCGTTGTCTACTCAGTAAGAGTCAAAATCAAACCACGCCACTTTCCGATTGCTCGCTTTGTGACAGTGTACGCAGTATCAGCGTAGCCGACGAAGCTGAGTTTGTTGTGACGTCGCTTGCGCAGTGGCTGGCGGGGAAGAGCCAAATGGGGGACGAGGTGACAGGAACGAGCTGGAAGATCCGGGGATGGCTCAGGTTTTGCAACTCCCGAAGTGGGTGTGGTCGTCCAAAGTGAGGTTGTTTTGGGGTGTCTAGAGTGCCAGGGGTGGTTGGTATGTGTGGTAGGAGACGGAAGCGAAGAAAAGCACGTTACTTTGGTGTGCGAAACAGGTGTCGAATCGGACGATGAAATGCAGGCAAGAGTGAGGTGATGGCTTCCTTCCGTACCTACTGTGTATGGTGGTGGGAAGACCGTAAAAGACGGCGTGAGGGGCACGGAAGGGACGCTTTCCATTTGGCGCTTGTCCCCCCGGTCGACGTTGGGAGCCGGCCGACGCGGATTGGCCGCTCGGTCGATCGGTCGGGTTTTCTTCAGTACCACTGTATGTACTCCGTACCAGTAGACGGTCCCTAGGCCGGCACGACTGTGGGTCTTGGTACCTTCTTTTCCCTTTTCTACACAACAAGCTCAATGTTCTCGTCATGCATATCAGTCACGCGAGTGGCAGCAACATCACCACTGAGCAGCAAAACGTACTGCATTAGGCCCTGACAAACAATCGAATCAAGTGGGGTGTTGGTGTGTTTGCTGTTCCATGCTGCTTATGGCTTAAGGTCATGCTGGAACGGCAAACGAACGCTTCGCCTCCCCCGCATTTCCCGGATACTGACGCTCTGCCAAGACATCCCGGGACCCTGGATCGACGATGAGCTTGGCTGTCTGACGTCGTCTCACTGTCCCAAGCTACCAAAGGGATGAGTTGGGATGAGGCAGTGGATGAAGAAGATAAACACTGAGCGAACACACTTGTCAGGATCTGGATTAAAGCTGGGTGAACAGGCGAAGCCTCGGAAGAACTGCCATTCCCTGCACTCATACAAGCAAAACCAGCCAAAGCACATCCGGTCTTTTAGAGTTTTGGGGTACAGGAGGGAGCAGGCTTACCATCGTCATCTTTCCGTCTCTCCCTCATAGGTAAATGGACATGCAAGTCTGGTATGCCGGCGTCAGACGATACACCTGTTGTACATGCAGGCACAACTTGAGACGACTTTATAGCATGTGGATCATTCTGCGCAACGACATACAAAGGTAAACCGCTTCAAGGAGGCTCGGTATCAAACCACATCATAGACTGTTGACAAAATGGCTGCCTTTCGTAGACGACTCCAGGAGGCCAGCGAATACGAGACGAACCGTATCGAGGCAGATGTAGCAGCTCTTTCGTGGGAAAATGCTCGGCAAGACCTATGCCTGTTTCGACAACTCCAGATTAAAACCACGCAAGGCTTACGTGTTAGTGAGGCTTTTCGTGGACGATGATCGTCAAACATGACGAAGCGGCATTGAGTGACGGGTGAAAGTAGGTGAGAAAGGGAAAGCGGTAGTCAATTTATCAAAACAACTAAACGCCAACACCAAGGCCCTAAGTCCTGGCCGCCTTCACCGTAAATTAACCAGAAGGACACGCCGGCGGTAACCAAGAAGAGAGAGGGAAGAGACAGTATGCTCATTCTTCAACCTCACTCTTCTCCCCGCAATCCCCCTCAAACATCTTCTCAAGCTCCCTCCTCAGCACCCTAAGCCTCTCCTCCGCCTCCCCCTGCTCCCGACCCATCTTCCGACTCCACGCAGGGAAATCCCCCGCCACGCCAATCTTCTCGAGCGCCTCAACCTTGGCCTTCCTCTCGGCCACAAACTCCTCCACCTCCACCTTCTGCAGCCGCCAGAGCCGCTCCGCCTCCTCGAACTTCTGCTGTCTCGCCTGGCGCCGTTGGCTGCGCTGGTTCACGCGAGCGAGACGCTTGTGCCAGCTGCGGCTGCCCTTGGAATATGTGGATTCCTCGCGCTGGTTGGCCTGTAGAACCGGGTCTTCTTCTGGCTCAGGGCGGTTGGCGTCGCGGACCTTCTCCCAATGTCCCGGGCAGAGTTGCGTTTCTGCGTTGGCGGCGTATTGCTGTTTAATACGGCGAGTCTCGCGGGACTTGTAAGCCCTCTGACCCTTCAAGATCTCGTCGCCCGTGAGGACGTCGCCCTCGGGGGTTGTGAGGAAGATCAGGGGCGCGTAAAGCTGTTGGTGCTCGCGCAACGCGGCCTCTGCTTTTTCTTCCTGCTGCCGCTCTTGCTCCAGCTGCTGGTCATACTCTTGCTGCTGCCACAGGCGGAAGGTGTTGCGGAGCCGTCTCCAGTCACCTGGGCAGAGGAACGTCTCTGCGTTGTTGATGTGTTTTATGCGCAGATCCAGGGACTCGCGGGACTCGGTGCACCATGTTCCTTCTGGGATGGCACTGCCGAAGAAGATGTTGCCTTCCGTGGTGGTGAGCATGACGCTGGGAACAACAAGTTTCTGTTGCGTGCGTTCCTCAGGTACGAAATCCTGCACCATGTCGTATTCGTCCTCGTCCTCGTCTTCAATAGCAGAGGAGTCTTCCCACCATCTCTCGTTGTCGTCCTCCTCCCCGTCTTCGACCGTGCACAGGTCGCAGTCGCCGCCGCTCTCATCGGCGTCGTCATACCAGCTGGTGCCGTATTGACGACGCCGATAAGAGAGCTGGGCGGCGGCAGTGAAGAAGAGTGCTGAGCTCGCTTGGATGCTGCTCGCGGCGACTGACTTACACGCCGTCATAGTGTTAGTAGTGGCGGCGGCGGCGGCGGCCTGGGTATTCATGATGGTATACATGACTACGGTTGATGGATGATGAGAGGTGAAGAGGGATTAAGAGAGCAAGGTAGTGAGAAGAGAGTGGGTTCAGAGAGTAGAGTAATGAGACATCTATAGAGTGGTTGAGAAGAAGCGATTGTTTGTGGGTTGTATGTGAGGTTGGAAGCTGACATGTGCCGATGCAGTGAAGCAGAGATGGGTTGTGGATAGGAGATAGAAGAGAATAAGACTGCCAAGACGAGAAACATCTGTCTATTATATATCTATCAGAGGGAGACACGATCACCAAGGCTGAACCAAAAGGTAGCGGAGATGGTTGATTTGATGCTATCTCCGAGCGCTGTCAACCTTTGTAGTCGACTGAACCTCGGGCGAGATGAAGTATAATTGAGAAACTTGGTTGAGCGACTGACACTGTGAAAAGCCTCAATTTCTTTCAACGCACTCAGAATATTGGCTCAGAGAAGAGCACGCCCGGTACCAACCACCAAGAAAAGGCTGTGACAGTCAATTACACTTTTGATTGGAACACCTCAACCTCTATGGACTATTACTGATTCTACCCTACAAAAAAAAAGCATGGCGGAGGCATTGTATATTTGCGTCATTTTCGTTGTAGAGAGACGTTAATCACACCTTGAGCATGTACCGTTGAGTTCCCAAGGCCCTCGACCCTCTGCTCCACAGATCCCAGGAACCTGTATGACCGTTGCAAAAGCTTGGTCAAAGTAGCGGGCCGTCAACCTGGTGAAATCTGTCCCGTAACCATGGTACCGGGATAGCAAGGTCCTCTTTCCACTGGAATATCAAGCTACCCACCTCACACCACAGGGCTATGCTCATGGTTCAACATGGCTACCTCTGTCTTCACTGAGGCACTCATAAAAGGGGGGATTGTAGATTGTGTATATGCATCTAGATTCTCAACACGCTCAAAGCAAATAACGACTACCAGAGGCTACATGTACCTAAACATCTCAGGTAGACGTACACTTGACGCCCTTAACCCCATCAACAGTCGTCTCCTCGCATTTAATCGCCGAAGTCGAAGTAAACACCAAGCTCACGGTGCCGTTGGTCGAAGCCTCGTAGCTGACACTGTTAAAAATCAAAGTATTAGCATCGTCTTACTTTTCAAGGAGTAGGAAAGCAAGCAAACATGAAAACTTTGGGCCAGGCGTGGGCCTTCACTGCCCCCCTTCTCAACCCTCCCGCACTTCTGGTCCAGGTCTCGGACAAAGGGGAACCCAGGGCGGTAGTGGCCAAGCCCGCAATGAGGTGGTTTGAGTGGTTTGAGTTGGTTTCTGCTTACCTGGAGTTGAAGTTGATCGGGTTGATGCCGATGCCCAGGCCAATGTTCATCGTGTCCTTGGTGATTGTGAAGCCACCGCCGAGACCAAAGGCTTCGGAGCCGGATTGCAAGCCACCTGGTGAAAACAAGATACGTCAGCTTTTCATCCTGTGTCGAAAGAAGATAGGCACTCTATCGCCCTCAAGTTCCGCCAAGTCAGTCCTTGCCCTCCGTTGAGGATTCCAGATCATGGCAATCCCCTCTCTTGCGTGGGCTCCTCGCACAACCATACCCCGATCCCATTTACCTATCTATGTCCTCGCTCGTTCTCGGAAACCTCTGAATCGCCGGTGACTCCCTGAAAGCCATGCCTCCCTTTTCATGATGCTCAAGAACTCACCTCCAAAAGACTGCCCCTCGGCCCAATTAATCCCACAACCAACCCCAATCCCGCCAAACGGCGCCAGCGTCCCCGCGGCACTAACAGCGCCCGATCCAGCGGTCGCCGAGACGTTCTTGTTCAGCGCCGTGATGTCGACCGCCGGCTTCGTCTCGTTGTCCTGGCGCGGGGTCAGGAGGCTGCCTGCCGATGCGAGGCCTGCCACGGCGAGGACGGCGAGGATTGAGCGAGCCATTGTAGTTGTTCGTTTGCGGGGGAAGGTTGTTCGATTGTATATGGGGTGTCGTCAGTGTCGTAGATTCGCGGTTGATGTACGTTGAGTGAGCCGATGCTGGGGAACGAGTGACTGTGGTGAGTAGAGATGTGTAAGTAATTGGCGAAACCTCACAATTGCTTGCCCACCCCGCGAGTACGAGGTGGGACGGAGACTTATATCTCACCGCGCCTCCACGGCGCGCGGGCCCTAGTATCTAAATCGTTGGGATGATCATGATCCTGTAACCTGGTAAAGGGGGACGCGGGCACTCCATCACCAGAAACTCTAAAAGATGAAGTCCTGCAAGAAGTGGATCGCGGCGCGGCTTCCCCGGCATTGCTGGACATGGACAACCCCGTCGACGTTCGTCTCAAGTTTTCTCGAGTGACCAACGCGCTGTGTTACCTGTGTTGAGAGCCTTATCGGTCTTTCTTCATTTACATCCGGTGATAGAAGCGTATTTGCGATGATGCCGGCCCCTGCGGTGGGAGAAGACAGGTCCCCTGTGCCCGACAGAGTGGTTCGCACTTAAACTCCGGGAAGCATCAGCGCCAAGAGAACCTTGAGCACGTCGAGCGCTTTGATGAGCAGAACTTCTAGAGACTGCCTGCGGTCACCAAGGTGTGCATCGCGACGACGGACTGAGGGCGATTCTACAGAGTACAGCGTGCTTTACTTTCACGGTTGCTACCCACGTTTTACTATTTACAAGAGACGGAAGCGAAATACTCTTGAAAGTGGAGGGGTGCTTTAAGCACGATCTCACGAGTCAGGTCGGGCTTTTGTCCAGCTACACGTCGCAGGCTTCAACCCCCTCGACTGATATCGGGGAATTCTTTCCAAAATCTTTCCGTACCCGAAGCTCTCTAAACTCTAACCCGAGCACCTCCCAAGTTCTAGAACCCGACGCTGCCAATCTACGAATACATACCAGCCGCAAATTCTCCGGCCGTATGTCAAACGGTCTCAGATCGCGTAGCAGGTCGCATATCCGATTTGGCACGTGATGAGACGGGATGTTCATTCCTCACACGGTAAACTTCGACTAAGCTCGGAGCTATGATGCGATGTGTCCCATCAGACAGCTACGGACGTAAATCAACATTCCAAGTGACTCACTCCTGCTGTTCGCAGAAAAGGGGGAACCGAGAGGGAGGAGACCAGTCAGAGAGTTCAAGACATGCCTGGCGTAGTGAAGATCTAAATGATATCCGTGTTCCTAATCTGAAATTCATCAAGCCATTTGTAGTACATGGAACAAGACCGCGAGGACGTTGTTCATCATGAGTGTAACACCACTTCTTTCTTCCCATCCATCAGGATCCTGCCGTCTGAGTTGGCGGTTTCGCTCAGCGAAAACCGCATGATCCTGTTTGTCTCTCTATCTAAAGTTGCCTCTCCTTTCAAAAAGCGGTGCCCTATTTCTAACAATTGTTTTGTATCGTTCGTTTCATTTTCCATTTCACATAGTCCATTTCTCATAAGCCCGTTGCAGTTCCCCGTTTTTTGTTTCCCGTGTACACATATGGTAATAATCCCGTCTAAAAAGTCTCGAACCCAACAACAACTGTGCAGAGTGGAATGCTGCTGCGCGCAGTAGAGAGTGCCCTGCCCCCTGTGTTCTACAGGCCACTTATTCCACACACACACGAATAGAAGAGAAGAAAAAACAGAAAACATAAGCTACATGTAGTAATGCAGGAGCGAAAGAGCTGGCCCCAAGAGAGAGACCTCAAACCACAATCGGGTTATGAGAATCAGCCCCCTGGTCCTCAACCATCTCCAGGAACCGCGAGCATGGCGGCAGCCTCACTCGCGCCCGGTGCGAACTAGCAGGCCATGCCCGGATCGAGTCGTAAAACTCGAGCCGCGTCGGCGTCGAAGAGGCGTGCAGCCGACGTAGGTTGTTGGACTTGAGCAGCGAGATACGCGGCGGTGTCAGGCTTAGGCGTCGGACGGCGGGCTCCGAATGCTGGCGTCTGCGCGTTCGGATTTGCGCGGCTGTTACGGCCGCCTGAGGAGGAGGAGGAGGAGGAGACTGACGGGTGCGTTGCTCGGGCAAAAGTTGCAGCTTGGGTGGGAGGATCTCTGTTGGTGTCCGAGGGGGCGGTGACCCGGATGCCACAGAGCTGCGGTCCCCTGCTGCTGTTTCGAGATTGCCATGCTCTGTACCGGCGAGGTTTAAAGATACGGGACGGGAGTCGTAGGAGTGGCTATAGCTGTGCTGATAGACCGCGCCTCCGCGTCCTCCTCTTGGTCCCCCATGCTCTTCCGCCTCGCGTCTGTTGAAGGCTGCGGCGGCGCGGGACTGCACTCTCCTCTTGCGCGCGAACTCGGAATTGAGAGAGCTCATTAGCCTTTCGAGCACCTTCCAGGGGAAAATGACGGTGCCCACCTCCCATGCCCTCCCGGCACCGAGTTCCGTGGAGAAGAAGCTCGTCCACGCGCGGGCGTTGGAACAAGGTTCGCCGAGAATCATGGCGTCTGGCGAGGTTCGCATGCGGAGCATCAACTCGGAGCGTTCCCGTTTACTAAAGGGCACATAGGACATTGATGATGCGTTCACCATGTGCTGCAGCAGAACTAGGGCCTCAGACGCCTTGAAGAATTCGGCGTAGGGTCCGCCTAGAGCCAGGGAGGTTTGGCGGTAGCAGGTGATGGTTGCTTGGCCTTGTTTTATGGGGCGGCCTTGCTGCAGGATGAGGGTGACGGCGCGGTTGTTGCGGGTGAGGGTGACGGTGTAGTTCTGGTGAGGCGATGCTGCCTCGCGAGACTGCCGTCGGTGTTGAGAGTTATCCCCCAACCGAGATGCTGCTGCGTCAAGATAGCCATGTTGCTTGGTATCGATCCCATGGTTCGACGTTGCTTCACCCCCGAATCGATTTTGGCCTTGGCTATCTGGCCAGAGACTTGTAAAACTGCAGCTATCCGAATGGGAACGCAGATGGCCATGGACAGACCGACTCGGTGTTGGAGGCTGAACGGCCGGTTCTGGCGCAAAGTATGAGTCGAACTTGGTAGGAGGCGTCTCTGGCCCAAAGGAAGACGTCCGTGTCCGCACATCTGAAGGGGTGTCTTGTCGTAGCTCGGGGGTCTGGTCTAGACGTAGATGTTGGATATCAGGGGAATATCTGGATACTTCATCGGGGGATGATCGAGGTGGTTGCTTGGCGTAGACGTTTGGCGGCCGGAAACCAAAGACACAATTAAGCTTGCTAACGGTCTGGGCCGTCGAATCATCCACATCCCACGGTGACGCTGTCGATGTTGAGCGGAAGGCGTCGACTGTCGGCCACTTGGCGTGGGAGACTGGCCCATCCACGTTTCTGCGTGGCATGGGAGCAAACATTGGAAAGGATGACATGCTGAACTGAATAGGGAAAATCAGACGAAAGGGGAAGAGAAGCCTTGCTTTTCGGAACGCAACAGCCTCAAACCGTGAGAAAAGAGTGAACGTAAGGCGCTCACTCGTCAGCAGGCCGTGGGCATATATACGGAAAGGCTTCTTCCCGCAACGCAACAATAGGACGAAACCAAATAATCGGACCAAAGGGGGAGCGGTCAGCCAGCTCGACCACACACCGAGACAGGTTGTCTTGCATCTCCCCGCGCAGGCCAATCCCTCTCCGGCCAACATGCCAAGGGCAGAGTATTTTCTTCTTCGTCGTCACATCCAACGCACAACACACTTCAGAGGGCTGTTGGTAGGGCTAACCTCGTCTATACAGCTGGCGCTGCTGTCGAGGGTGTTGGAACGAAAAAGGCAAAAAAAAAAAAAAAAAAGCACCCCCGCCTGACCGGGAACTTGGGAGACACACCACCATCTTGTTTTCTTAGCGTGCGTAAGTGTCTCCCACAGCCTCGATGGCTTGCCCCTCCCTGCATGCCTCCCGAAGAGATCGCCATTCTGCTTATGCAGAAAAGCAATGTGGACTCCAATCACGAGCTCCGGTAAGCACTCCCGCATGTCGCTAGCCGATTCAGAGCCTCGTGTCAACCGGCCGAAATTGTGGCATTGCCGATTGATCGCATGCGTCGATGCCCGAGGGAGAGAATTCATGACGGCAAAAAAAGCAAAGCGGTCCCGAGGGTCTGTGAGTGGTCGGCTGCTCGCATCAGAACGGGCTGTAGCCGTGGGATGCTGCACGATATATCATTTTTTACTTCTCTTGCCCTCGTCTGCTGTCGCATGGGCAGAACGAAACGAGACAAGTCCAAGCGAAGATGAGAGCATTGGCCAACGGGGTGGACAGACAAGAAGAAGCGAGACCATGCTGCAGTCAGCGGAATTGTTTGCTCCCACGGAAGTTTATTCGCTGTTGGTAGAAACTTGAGATTCCTTGCTCCAAGCCATCCGAAGATTCACGAAAACGGCTGGAATGGGTTACGGGCGGTTGACGAAGATGAGAAAAGTACCGGCGCACTTCGCTGTCTGCTCACCGCTGCATGGGTACATTGTGACATGGCGTGAGAGAAAGAGTAATAGTGTGGATAGGTATGTGTGTGTGTGCCGTCGAAGAAGCAAAGTGAGAAAAGCAAAGTGTCTCGTCCAAGCGCGAGCGATATAAGACTTTGAGAGACAAGGTCGAGACAGGTGCAGCCGACGAATCACAAATGTGCTAAATTAATAACCGCAGGGAGCAGGTTATATAGCAGAGCTGGGAACGTCTGACGGGGTGTGGTGACTGGTGACTGGTGACAGTGTGCTGTGGTTGGCACACACACACACATAATGTTTGGCCCTTGGGCGACGTGATGGGCGTTTGTTGACGTGGTCTGCGCCGTGTTACACAGATTGATTGCGGTGGATTCCTAGACTCCGCGGTCAGCTGTGACTCCGTGACAGAGTCAGACAGAAAGCAAATGGCAACGAGACAGGGCTGCAATGCGGGCGGAGAGACAAGGCCTGGGCAATGAATGTGAGCCGTCATGCGATGCAACATTGGAAAGGCCGGGGGACGAGGTGACGGGCAAGGGATAGAGACGTTTGATGTTGCGCTGCAGCTGAAAAGCTCCGAGATGTGAGTGAGGTGCCGGTTTGGTGCTTGCGAAGGGGGAGAGGGGGGAAGAA